CTGCACTGTCATTTTTGGCGTTCTTCTTTGCATTCTTCCTCATCCCCGAAACCAGCGGTATCCCTCTTGAAAAGGTCGACCGTCTGTTTGATTGCAAACCTGTCTGGAGAGCAAATAAGATGCTCAAGGCTGCCCTTGCGGAAGAAGAGGAGCAGTTCCGCTTCGATATCAAGGAGACATCGTACCATGAGGAGAACACTGGTTCAACTGCGCCTGCACATTACGACGAAGAGACACAAAAATAAGAGATACGGTTACCAATGGGGTATATAGATTAGATTGGCTTATCGGCCTTGCACAGACGGCTACGATGTATAGACAGCTGCATAGATTGACATGCATTTTCATAAACTGTTATCCTTCAATTTGCACCAAAACATACTATTTATTTAGGCGATGGCAGCGCGACCCAGCAGAAAAACCGTAGCCGCAATGCAGAGATCTGTATCTGTATCTGTATCTGTATCTGTATCTGTGCCCCCCCCAGTGTTTTTCCTCCGTCAACTTCAATGCCTCCAATGGTCAGGATATTGCCACTCTAGTATCTATGGATACTTACTGTTATCCCTAAAAAAAGAAAACGGGATCAACTACGACTGTGAAGCATGGAGATCTGTGTAAATCGGGCGGTCCGTAACACCTAGCCACTTGATTGAAGAGGATTTTGTATGATTCTCACACGCAATGTATGACAACTAACAACAGTCAACAAGCAAACTCCTTCCTCGTCTTGATAACTTAAGTGGAACCGCCATTATCCCGATGCAACATGGAGATAGCCATCTCACAAGCCTCTCTCATTAGATATTCCTCGGATGACCTTGTCTTACCCATGCCCAGAATTCTCCATCATTTGGTCTTTTTGCAAACTTCCGACAAATTCTCCGCCTCAATAGCAGTTGAACCATGCCCCGCTGTGACGGTAGGCGCATTGGAAGAGAAAATTTGGATCCACTATTTTCAACACACGTGGATCCATAGTCCGGACGCTTCTCTTTGTAGCATTCACAATGATTTTGGTGGCGGTTCTTGGTTCGCTTGGCGAAGATCCGGATAATACGCATACGGAGTACTCCGAAGTGCGTTGGGCAATAAAGCAAGATTGATACGCGCCCCTTTGTGATATCACCTGGCATAAATAACTCAGATAAAAAGCGTTGCCCTTCACTGATTCGCTTCCAAGGTTGGGGCTGGTGGTTACGTCATGCGAGATGGCCATGCAGAGTATAGATCACCCCCCGTCAGGATAGTGAAGACGAACGACATTTGTCAAGTCAAATGGGACCCGTGGTTCTCAAGCCCTTCCAGTGCATGTTGGAATTTATCGCTCACGGTCAAGAAAGCCTGTCGCATAGTGTTATTTTAAATGAGCCATTTTGCTTTCAAGTCATTATACACAGTAGCATCAAACCTTGTAAGTCGATGCGATATTGTAGGGATCATCAGCTAGTAAGTCTGATCGATCACTTTTTTTTCCTGTGAGGATCAAATAGAAGCGAGAATCCAAGCCTCCTTCCCCGCGTCATATAGCTGAATATTTTGATGTTGCCATGTGTGGGAAAATCCACATTGATTGAAATCCGGGGTCTCAAATATTTTTGTTTCCCCAATAAACATAACCAATCAATTGTACACGTGATGTGGTCTTGGCTCCTCCGTAATCCTAAAATGATGCGTAGACAGCTCCAGATCACAGTCGCCCCCAGCTGGGGCAATGAACTTGATGAACTTGATTTAAGTTGCCGATTGTGAGATCATTTCTATTGGTTGGGCATGAACATCAGTCTTCCACTGCCCAATGAGAGACATGAGCTGTCTCAAACGCAATCGCGGCCATTCTATATTTAGCTAGACTTAGGAAGTCAGATCCTGAAGGTGTCCCAACCTGGAAGTGATTGTCCAATAATCAGGAAGCTCGCGGAAAGACCAAATCAACGTTATATATAAACTCAAAAGCTAAATATGCCCGGATGTGCCAATGATAATTATGTCCAGGTGGATTTCAAGGCTGTTTACATAGGTATCAACCGACCTCAGGACTGTTTGCGGAATTAGTTGAGACCACGTGCTGACCGGTGGCGGACCAAAGTTTTACATTGACGTACTCCGGCGAAAGCGAGAATAAGCCGAAATAAAGATTTTCACTGGGAATCAACGTGATCGTCTAGAACTCGGAGGCTGGGGCAGTGTAGAGGAGCAAGGCTGGGAACAACCAAGGTAACACGGGAACGCCATTGTTGATCCCCATTCGAATCTTTGTATAACTTACGGAGTACATCACATAATAAAGCCAAGTCCGCTTTTCCCTGAATGGTGGTTGCCTGAGAGCGGTGTTTCACTGCGCGACCCTGGACGATCTCCTGGATCCACCGAGCGCTTACGTCGTGCTGTGGAGTTCCATGATATCAGGAAATCAAGGAAAAGAAAATAGAAAGAAACCCCCCATCTTCTCTCTTTTGACACTCACTCGTTTTGTCGCCATGCAACTGAATGGCTCCCGTTTCGGAGCTTTCATTCTCATCTTACTGCAGAGTCTTCATCTCGTACATGCAGAGGATCTCCTCCAAGCCACCGGGCTGACACAATGTTCCGAGAGTGCCGAAGTGACCGTGAATAACTTCAATGCGGTTTTTACACCAGCCAACAACTCCATAAGCATTATCTTTGATGGATATTCCGAAGTGGCCGGAGAGGTACTCATTGAGGTGGACCTCTTGGTGTACGGATACAAAGCGTTCACCAAGTCGTTCGATCCATGCAGTCTCGATTTGGCGGTATTTTGTCCTATGAAAGCCATCGAACTTCAAATCCCCACAATCACCGAAACATTGAGCGACAGCCTTCTCTCACAAATCCCATGTTCGTTACCAGTTCCTTGATGTGTTGCAATCTTTTCCGGGTACCTGGACCAGAAAAAAAGGTGTTCTTACTAACCGTTACGTCATAGCGATCTCCTATGGCGTCCCCGATATCGATGCCGTGATTCGCCTCAGGCTCATCTACAAGAATGGAGGTAAACAAATCACCTGCTTGGAGACCCGCATCCGCAATGGAAAGACAGTCTACCAGGCTGGAGTGTCGTGGACACTCGCCGTCATTACCGGTCTTGGTCTTGTCACCTCTACGGTCATATCACTTCTCGGTCATTCGAACACGGCAACCCATCTAGCTTTCCGATCACTTGCCTTCCTCGGCTTCATTCAAACACAAGCTATGGCTGGAATGACTTCAGTGAAAATGCCGCCTTTTGTGCAATCATGGACTCAGAACATGCAATGGAGTTTGGGGATTGTGCAGTCGGATGCTCTGCAGACAATTGCGACCTGGTTTCAACGTGCCACCGGGGGTACACCCTCGAACGTGGTGACCTCCTCCAACTCTGTGTCTGTTGTCCTGCAGAAGCGTTCCTCTGAGATCGTCCGCAGAGCCACAGATCAAGGAAGTCAAATTATTCTTCGCGGTATTGAACGAGTAGGAGTTCGTGAATCCATTGAACCAACCAACATCTTCATGACCGGGTATCTATTCTATTACTTTATCACTGCAGTCATCGTCGCTTGTGTGGGTCTGGTCCTAGTGGTCCGAATTGTCCTAGCCAAGAAACCGACATCGCTTCCAAAATTGGATCGCGCCCTCGGCGTCACCGCAGATTGGAAAACCATTCTCCGCAATACATTCTTCCGGCTGGCGTGCATCGGGTATCCACAAATGTGCGTCCTGTGCCTCTGGGAACTGACTCGTCGGGACTCAGCCGCTGAAATCGTTCTGGCCATCACCATGTGGCTAGTGACGACCGCCGTTTTAGCTTTTGCCGCATTCAAGGTGTTCCAACGCGCGCTGCGATCGAAACAGCAGCACAACACACCTGCATACACGCTCTATTCTGACCCTGCCACTCTGAGCCAGTGGGGCTTCCTCTATATCTACTACCGCGCTCCGGTCTACTACTTCCTTGTCCCAACTCTGGTCTACACCATTGTCAAAGGAATGGTTATCGCCTTTGCTCAGCCTTCACCAGTCGCACAGTCGATCGTTCTTCTTATTTTGGAACTTTGCATGATGCTCGCAACCGCTATAATCAAGCCATTCATGAGCAAGGGGGCAAATGTCGTTGCAATCACCGCGGGGGTACTCAATTCCCTCAATACGATCTTCCTGCTTGTCTTCTCGGACGTCTTCGACCAACCTGACCTTATGACTGGCATCCTGGGTGTGCTCTTCTTCATCTTGAATGCGATATTCACTCTTGTGCTCCTAATCTACCTTTTGGTTGGTATCGTCTACGCCATTTTCCTCAAGAAGCCCGACACCAAATACAAACCTCTTGGTGACGACCGTGACTCTTTCCGCTGGTCTCGCACTGCAACAACGACCGAGTTGTCGTCCCTCGAGAAGATAGCAAGAGGCGAGGAGGATGCAGAAGCCCATCCATATCCCCCGCGCGTGGCCACTGCTCCACCCAGTGACGAAGATGTGTCAATGGCAGCCAGAAGACCATATAATGATGTTGTGGACCCTTCGCTGCCGCTCTTCCCCACCAGTTATGACCACCTTCGACGATAGTCGTGAGGATTGATATCCATTTTCTTTCTTTTTTTCTCTTTCGTTCTGCTTTTATGCTCGCATTTCCAAAGGTTCTGAAGCGAAAAATCTCTTAACTATGTATTGCGTTTGGTGCATTGGCGCTTCAGGTGGCTTGTGTAAATATTCAAATTTTCGAAATTTGGCATTGGGCCAGATCCATACTATGTTACTTAGAAGTATCTTTCTTTATTTGTCTTACATTTACTATAAACCTCATTTTTACTCAAGTTTGTCCTTGTCTGAATTTGGAACATACAGTCGAGTAGGTGTAGGAAATGATTACCTTTGTAGATTATAAAAGGGAACCTCAGATCGCGCCTCTTTTGTACCATCCACACCGTGTGGCTGAAATGTCGAGCTAAACCCGTTTCTGTTTTCCTCGGTCTTCTACGTCTCTCATCAAATTCAAACACCCCATGTTTGCGCTTCTTCTATGGCTTGGCTTCGTCAACCAATCACTCGCCCAGGCTAATTCGACGGCCCTGGAAGGCTGGCAATTCGATGACAACACACGCTCTAGTTGGGACATTTTCTGGACTTGTGTTTCAACAATCCTTGCATGCACATGGACAGCCCTGCATATTTCTGTCCCAAGACGTGATGATACACAGGCAGGATATTTTTGGGTAAAGGCAGTGGCGTGGATATGCACGATACTTGCCCCGGAGGCTATGGCTGGAACTGCAGCCGAAGAGTTATGGCAGGCAAGATCTACAGCAGCACGCTGCAATGCTGCTTTTCGCACAGCATACGGCGGTGGAGGAGATGCAGACCCATCACTCACAGAAGATTCAAAAATACGAAAGACAGAAACGTCTGAGGGTCGCTGGGACACTGTCCAGGGGTTTTGCCTCGGTATGAATGGTGTGCTTCTACAGACCAAGGATGATTGGACATATCCAGTACACTGTAGCAACATCGTTGCCCTAATCAAAGCACGCGTCATCAAGTCATCTCATTTGGGCACTAGAGACATCCAAGACCGCGCCAAGGCTGACTCCTTTGCCAAAGGATTTACTCTACTCCAAGCCTTATGGGTGACTTGCAATGTCATTGGCAGAAAAGCATCCGGCTTGCCAATTACAGCTCTCGAGATTACTACAGTGGCGTATGTCGCCTGTGCTGCCGCTACATACATAACTTGGTGGAATAAACCGAAAGATATGGTAACACCAATCACGATTTATCTACCATACGATCGCGATTCCGAGAGTATGCCGCCTCAAGTCAGAGATATACTTAACGAAAAGGTTGAGAACTGGGTTCACTCGGATGCTTTCGAAAGAGACACTGGCTCTCCGGTATGGCAAATCATTGTCAAAGGCTTCCATGTCCAACACATTGTGTTATCATTGGTTTTTTCACCGTGGTTATGGAAGGGGTTCTGGCAAGAGTTCAAGGATGATTGGGCTGTCATAATACAAAATTGGCAGGCTCGAAAACCACCAGCTAGGCATTCTGATGGCAGCAATGGTGGCCACCAAGATGAGGAAAATCCCCAGGAGACTGAAAAAGCATGTCAAACCAAAAACGGTAGCCATATAGACAGGAAAATCTGCCATGGGCCGGAGCCAGAGCCATTTGTCATCAATGGTGACCATCGAAATGAAGAAATCCCCCGGGATATTATAGCAGTATCAGGGTCTCAACAGCCGAGAAATGGGCCGAAAGTTGACGAAATATTGACCGTGACGGAAACTTGCCAAGGAGAAGAACCCCCGGTGAGGTCCTCCGAAGCCAGCAGAATTGACTACCAAGATGTGGAAACCCATCAGGAAATTGAGCCGCCATATGAGTCTCGACATGCGGGACACTCACCAGAAGACGACGAAAGAATGACGATCACGGAATGGACCAATATCACACATTTCTATATGTTCGCTGCATTGGTCTTTTGTGGAATACATGTTGCTGCGTACGTATTACCATTCCCTTTGATATTCTTCTTCATGCTGGATAAAACTGAGAACCGAGAAATGTAGATGGAACTCCACGTTCCCAACAAGAGAGGAGCAAATAGTATGGAGAGTGTTCTCGCTATGTTCACTCTTCATAACCTTCCCTCTGTACTTCAAATACCTTTGGTCATTCTATTGGCTCCGGCGTACATTGGATGACAAGGAGAAGCGTATCTCAAGTATTGGCTGGTCCAAGGCACCTGACCTTCTTTTCATCCTGGTATGGTTTTGTTGTTATGCGACTGCACGCTGGGGATGCATCATTCTCATGTTCATATCCCTCCGGGCGTTGCCTGTTGGTTCTTATGTCACGGTGAGTTGGTTAGCATCGATTCCTCACATTTAATTCACACTGCACGTATTCAAAATGGGTGGTCGTGATACATGTCTGTCTGGTTGAGCAATGTGTGGATTGGATTATCACTTTTGATTTCCCTCTTCACCCTAGCGTCTACAGTAAGAGTGAAGAAAAGAATGAACCACTATCAGAACTATTTTCAAGGTCCTACCGCTTGCATGATGAGTCTTAGGGCACTCGAGAAATGGGGCTGTGCCGATATCCCTTGATTCATGCAGCCAACCTGCCAGCCTAATACATATCAACATGAATGTGTGTTAGCCAAGGCTGAGCAGATTACGATCCTCGTTTACGCACCGCAACAATTTCATCCAAAGGCCTAAAAATAAATACTCAGTCAAGAGGGAATTTACGAGTACGATCAAATGCCGAGAAATGACCATTGATTGCACCCAAAGAAGATATGACCGGGATCCGCAGTTCTGTAAGGTGGCTTACCGGCAAAGGCAAGGCCGTTGAATAAAATAAGCCGGCTGCATAGGCCACGTTCACACTCATGCACAAAACGCTACATTTGATGCCGATATCTCTCAGGTGTTCTCCGCCCGCGGTCCTCGGTCCTATGACACTGGATTAGGAGCATGGGTTGCGATGGTAACAGGCTGCAGCTACACTTTCGGTATTCTCTCCTCCGTGCCGGAGCTCGCCGTAGAAGTTGAACTATTGAGTTGCGTCTCAGACTGAGGCATCGGTGATTGGCAAGGTGCGTCAAACGTCCCAAACAGGAATATGTATGGACGATCCCTTCCCCTTCTGTCAACGCCCTTTTCGATTTCCCCCTTGGACTTGTTTTTGGACAAGCTTTTGTTTTTAATTTTATGATAGGTAACAAGGAGAAAAGAACCGTCTTATTGAATCTCGGTAAGCTTCAGGGGCTGAGTTTCAGTCTAAAATAAGAAGTGCTTGACTGTCCAGTTCTCCCCGGCGAGATCTTCGCTAGGTTGAGGGCATATCACGAACCAGAACGCCCCATGTTGTACGAGGTCAGCTCACCTGAGACGAATGATCGGCCCTGGGGGGTTCGGATTTAGCGAGGGGATCGACGCCGTAGCGTATGAAGATAAGGTTGCTGGAATTCCGCCAGGCGTGCCTTACATATCCTAACAGGAGACCTCTAACATTTCTTAGGGGAATGAGCAAATTCGGACGCGTGGGAAATTAAATCTGGTCTTGAAACATCAGCTTCCATGCGATTGTGGCTCAGCCAAGAGGTCAAGGGGGAAAAAAAGCCAATGCGCGTATATCTGCATAGTTAATGTATGCGGTACGGTCCACTACCCTCGGTCCGCAAAGTCTAGCGGATCTAGTTCTTACCGGAGATGCTTTGTTACACCATAGAGATCAGCGCTAGCACACCCGGTAGCCTTTAGCGAGGTGTCCAAGCTCGGTGCCATGTGCACAAACGCCTTTGAGCATTGGGCCCTTTGATCAGCGAATGGGTCAAGGACTAGATGGCACTCCAAGGCAACATGCTATTACCGATGCTTTCCTTCCTGAGATACTCCAGCCTTCGGACTTATCATAATTGACGTTAACAAGGCATTTTATTTCCCCTCTATTCTTAGACATGCTCCAATTTGGGGGCTTTGAAAACAAGCTACTCGCATTTCGGAGATCTTCGGCTTTTAAGTACAGAATCCAAGCATTCCTGTATTTGAGAGTTATGACTATGCAAAAAGGAATTTAGGGCTCAAGGTCGGTATGGACCTGCTATCATCGTATCTTCCGCCAAGAGTGCCGTGCCCTAATTCCAACTCGGTATTAAGAGATCTGCAGCGTTGACATCAAGAAAGGGAAATGAAGGAATCATGCAGCAGGCGCGCGTGGCCCGGGGAATGCAGGATCGTAAGCTTTATTTCAATTTATTCGTTTTGATCTCTTAGAGCTCAGCCCCTGGGTCAACATGACCATGTGATGGACCACGTTGACCCCCGACATTGTTTCATGCTGGAAGTTTGCGTAGTAATCCCACGCGAGGATGCCAACCATTATGAAGCGCATTTGCCGCCAAGGACGGCTCGGGATTTGTTTCAATGCGTTCTAGTCTCTCCAGAAGTATGTTTCAGGATCGTGATCTTGTCCCTTGTTTGATAACTCCATCGAGGATCCGTTTACGGTAACCGAACTGGATTTGTATTGCGCCCCCTCGCTTCATTCCGTGGCACATAGGTCGAGAGTCTAGATACAGACCTGAAACATGTGGTTGGCCATGTGCTGACGAAAGAATGTTGTGTTTACGCTTAGGATGATCGTAAAAGCGGGTCTTAGTCCACGCACCCTTATGCGGCTGGTACCTGCCTCCTAGCCCCGGTTACCTGCATCTCGGCCAATAACAACAGGATTGTCGCTTGTTTTGCATAGATGAGCCGAACGGGTATGTGCTTTTGGCTATGGGCCCTCGGGCTTTCCCGCTAAAACAGTCCCAGAACCGACATGGTTCATGCAGACTCAGCCTTGGCAAGCGTTGAGCTCAAGGGTCGAGATGCCATCACAGGTGGAGTTAATGCAGTCGATGACGATCTTTTCCTCGTTTCCTGCTTCGCTTAGCTCATACTGTCCATGTGGGCTATGATGCGAATCTCAAGCTCGCGTGTCCGGCCGCAAAGGCATGCCGTCCGCATGCATGATGCCAGACCTGCAGTGTATATATAGGAGCTCCCCTCGGTTTTATCAAGGACATCATCAACTCGTCAGCCCGTCGTCTCTACAGCCCATTCCTAAGCATACCGAGCAAAGCAAAGCACATACCGAGCACTTGAATTCCACACTATCACAATCTTCCTTCTTGCTACTGGGCCTTTTCTCTGCGACTTGACTCTTTAATTCCTCTGAACCGCCTGTGTGAGCCTCATATCTATCACCAACAACCATCTACACACACAACATGTCCATTCCGGAGCCAAGAAACACAACGTAAGTGTACCTATATTCAAATTCATCTTCTATCAACCAACTAACCAGCTTCTCCCTCAGTGTTGCAAATGGCGCCAGTACCAACGCCGTAAGCCAAGGCAATGTCAGCCAAGTGCCTGGAAGCAGTCGCAGCAGTGTGGACCGATTTGCACGAGCACCAGCCTCCGAAGGCCCATACTTTGCTGGTGCACGGATGCCAGAGAGGTCGGCACATCTCACGGGGCTATCAAGTCAACTCAATGCCATGGAGGAGATTATGAAGACTGGAAGCTAGGGAAGGAAAGCAAATGAACCAAAAAAAATTGTATCATTCGACATCAGTTTCTATGTATAGTGGATCTACCAAATGGAACTGAACGAGAGTCCAATGAACCTGGATATATCCCAAACCTCCCGATCAAGAGTGTATATACTTCGTGAAACTTCGGGCTCATAGCAACTCAAAGATGTAAGAAGCTACTTCCTCGTACTTGGTGCTGGGGAATTCATGTCCCGCGTCGTAGAACTTGAAGATGACATTACCACCCAGGGCAGCCGTGGCATCTGGAACAAGCTCATTTTTGACAATGATTGCATCATTGTTACCACACAGAATGTGAACTTTGTTATCCGCCAGCCTCTTGTTTTCATTGCTTGAGGTGCCGTTCTGTGCAGTTAGATACTCGCCAAGACGTGCCCATCTGTTCCACTGGCGCTCTCGTAGAATTGGGCCATAGCGCATGCTAGACATGAATGCGTGGACAAATCCAGTATGATTATTTACCTGCCACGTCACGACAGAGGGGATATTGATTTGGGGGTAGCGTCGGGACAGAATTTGGGTTGCTGCAGCGTTTTGTGAAGGAATTTCCTCGGTGAGCGCATCCGCAGCATTGAGCTTCTTATTCTTGGGCTTGGGCGTTGTTAACGGGCCTGCCCTCAGTCGGCGGCTAACCAAGGATGTTAAGATATTCTCAGGCATAAGACCCTTTGAGTAAAGGAGTCGACTTTGGAAACTGATTTGCGAGTCGCGGAGCAAGCCTGAAGGGGCTAGGAGCACCAATGACGATAGAAGGTGAGGAAAGTAGGATGCAAAGGCAGCGGCGATACCACCTCCCAGCGAGTACCCAGTAAGACAGAATTTACCGGAGTCTGCACCTGTCCAGGAGATAGGCGATGATGTCAGAGCGAGGAAGATCTGCGTCGAGAAGAGGCGCTCGTCTTGTGGAAGATCGGCGGGGCAGTCTGAATATCCTCTTCCAAACCTATTTCCTTCGGGTTAGCGATAGTTCAAGGTGTTGGATGTTGTGTTACCCTACAAGTCAAATAGCATCACACGGCACCCACGGTCCACCAGCGCATGGGCCACCCCGCCGAGCGCAATACACGGTGTGGTGATACCGTGCACGAACAACACCTTGGGTCCATCTTCCGGGCCCCATTCATATACTCGGATCGACCCGTACGGGCTATCGACATCACGAGCGCCGGGTAGGACATCAGCCGGAAGAGGCAGCTGGCGATTCTCTGACTCGGAGATGCCAGGCAAGACTGTCGATCGAGGCGAGACGAGAACATTTTGAAGCGGCTCGTTTCGAGGGAACACCGATCGAGCGAGTAGACCAAGTGTGAATGATGCCCCAGTCACTGCTAGCAAGGGGATTTGGGTCTGGCGGTTCGAGAAGGCACCGGAAAGGAAATCCACAGTTTGGTTGTAGAGCGCCATGGTTGCGATTGCGGGAAGTCACCCCTGGAACTTGGAAGTTCGTCGGATATAAGTAAGGTGATGAGTTGCAGTGTTGACTCCTTGAAATGCTGTCTAGGGCAAGTATGGGAGGTACTAGCGAAATTAGATACCAAAGCAGACGTTTGAGACCGTCCTGTGGGGAGAAAGTGCTTGAGGGCTGAGACCGAGGCTCAGACCGAGGCTGCCGTGTTGACGCCGTCCACGGGTGTGCTTGATAAGATTAGATAAGATAAGGCCCGCCCCAAATTTGTACAGCTCATCTAGGTCACGTGTTATCTCTATCACGTGGCGTGTGATAGATTCAGCTAGTATCTTATAATCTTGACCCTTGATTTATACATTTTATACATAACTGAGACCTACTCTATAGAACTGCATAAAAAGGGGTTGGGAATCAATAGGCTTCCTTTAAGAGTAACCCACTTACAAGCAGTGCCTTGGGTAATCGAAAAGTACTGCGGAGTGGAAATACTATCCGCCTGAGTTGAAATATATATCTCTACACAAGACCACTAAATCCACGTTGAGCACTGGTCATGTTATTTTCCTAGCTGAGTCGACGATATCTCGTGTGAAAGATATCTCCAATAGCAAAACCGTGTGTTTTGACCTTAGACAGTCAATCCAGTAGGGTCGCGATAGTCCAGCGAAGAGTTTGCGGCAGTTGCAAGTGTAAACCTCGCGCTGCTCACCATGTTCATTGCACAATTACCCAACGAGACACTTGGGCAACGGATGGTTGAACTGGACTAGTAACGTAAGTGACTCTCCTTTGGTCGAACGAAAATACCAAAGGCGGCTTTACGTAAAGAAATATCATGTCCAGGTGGATCTCCAGGGCTTCAAGCGCGAATTTTCATTTTCATTATAAATATTGACTTTTGTATTCAATCTTCTTCGGGTACACATTATGAAGATATGGCTAAAATAGAACAAATTACAACTTGGGATCCAGTCAATCCGACAAAGGAGGGAAAGGTCGGATGAAACTAGAAACAAAAACAGTTAGAGACCCGATCAAATGGAACCGGAAGGACAAGGGTACATACTGAGCAGGACACTCATACCCAGCAGGGTTATGCTCAAGGTATAGCTGGTGATATTGCTCCGCATCCCACCATTGGCCTGCCGGCAGGACCTTGGTAGAAAGCGGCGTTTTATACCACTCCTTGCTGACTTTTTCTGTAATTTTCTCCGCGATTTTCTGTTGCTCTTCCCCATGCGTAAAGATCGCACTGCGGTATTGTGTGCCAACATCCGGACCCTGCCGGTTCTCTGTTGTGGGGTCGTGCATACGGTAGAAGAATTCGAGGAGCTGGCGGTAGGTCACAATTGAGGGATCAAAGGTTATCTGCAGGGCTTCGGCATCTGTGGAGGCCAAAAGAGAAAAAAATAAGCATTTGAAGATGAGATCGCGATAAGGAATTTCGCGCTATTTGTGTCTCAGATAGCGAAGCACTTACGGCCAGTTGAACCGGAGCAGACAGCTCGGTACGATGGCGATGAAGTTGCGCCACCGCAGTAGCCGACCTTGGCATCAAGGAGGCCTTTGCCGTTGCCGAAATTCTTGCGGTACAAGTGCTCAACGCCCCAGAAGCAGCCGGCTGCTACAGTGGCAATCTGTGTGCCTGACATTTTGCGAAATTGTGCCGGGTTCAAGGGAAGAGCTGAGCTGGAGAAAGGACGGAAGACGTGTGAGAGAAGGGTCGAAGCAACCGGAGCAGCGAAAGTCATCTGCGGAAATTCTGGTGGAGACGTACTTGATAAGTGGAGATGGCACGCGAATTCAGATGTGAGAGTGTGAGAGTGTGAGAGAAGTCGTTTAAGCTGTCATAGATGGCAATGGAGCAGTTTAAGAATAGATGTAAGAATAGAATAAGAAACAAGAAAAAAAGTGAAGAAATAGAACGCTCGAAAATTGGAGGTCCTCGATCGCGTCATTTCAGAACTTACAAAGCAGCGGGGGATTTCGACAGGGATTGGCTGAAGATCAGGGCTCGGTAACTCCATCCCGAAATTAGTGATATTCTGTACAAATGCCCTAATGCAAATCAAAACATAAGAATTCTGTGTACAAAAACAAAATGTGGTATCTGCTACGCCAAACGCCAATTCCAAATTCAAATAAAACCATTCACCAGAGTTTACTACCACGCTTGTGAGTTGTGGTCAGCAGGGGGCGCTGCCATCGCACTGAGACGGATGGCATCTCTGCTGGATAGACTGATATTTCGTGGTCGACCGTCTCCACCCATTGTTGTGCGGCGTCCTGTGTGCTTCATGACTGGAAGAGTATGAGGGCTCAAGACCCGATGCTTGGCATCGTGTTCTCTCTCGCTCTTCACCATGCGCCGCGCTTGTGATGCGGTGAACATCTGGTTATCTGCTGACGAGGTCGCGTGGGTATTGGAAGTTGGGCTGCGACGACGATGAACTCGCAGGGCATTGGAAGATGGAGTATTAAATTGTCCACTAGCAATCCGCCCACTAGACATCCGTCGCATAGCCGAATTGATCTTGATTGCTTCTTCCTTGTCTGACTTCCAGTTGTCTTTGTTCTCAGATACAGGACTGCTCGAGAAGTTCCCGCTGGGACTGCGAACTGCAATCCGCGATGGACGCTCCATCAAGGTGCGGTTCATAAAGCTGCTCCCTTCGATATCACGGAGAGGGGAGCTCTCCCTTCTTGAAAGAGGAAGACTGGATGATGGTGGTGGTGGTGCTAACGGTGAGCTACCATTTCTCTTGGTTAAAAATCCTGCCTTGAAGCGACTGTTGTTCTTTTGAACGTTTAGGGTAGGCTCGGTAGATTCGACAGGCTCGTCGGGAGTGGGAGACATAGAGCCCGAGGGGCTTATAACCCTCGGAATATTTCGTGGAATGGGAGATCCAGAGCGAGGCGGCAACCACGACTTCTCGAAGCTGGCTTCATCAGCAGAGTCGACCTTCTTGGGGGTCTTTTGAAACTCGGTCAGAGTGCCCTCGTCCTCATCGTCCTTCCACCGGACAGATCGTTTGGGGACCTTCACCTGGGCTTTCTTTGGCGAGAAGCTGACACTTTTCCGGCCCACGGTGGCTCTACGGCGACGCGGAGAGCCTTTAGTTGGTGAAACAGGAGCAACATGTGTGAGTGTGACTGGAGGGTTGGCAGTCGATACTGGTGGCAAGCTCACCAAGCTGAATCGCTTCTTTGTTTTTGCGGGGCTTGCAGGCTGGGCAGAGCTGACATTCGGAATAGAAGGCATGGTGCCATCGGGTTTGACGAGGTTCGTTGCTGCATCTGAACAATCCTCTAACATCTTTGTAAGGATAGACCGCCCCTTCTTAATAGCCTCGTTTGCGTTTAGCTGCATGATCTCCTCAATCGAGTTCATCATCTCAAACTGTGCTTGCAACAGAAGCTGCACAGCAGCGGCTTCTCCAGCCTTGTCCTGTTCTAGCACGGCTGTCAAGGACTCGCGCTCTGCATTGGACCGGAGAAGATCTGCTTCTCGATTTAAATTGGCGTAGTCGCTGTTATCGGTAATATCAAACTCTTGAAGTTGCTTTGCCGCGTTCTCAACCGCTGAGTTCACCGCTCGGTCCCAGGTGCTTTTCGATAATTTCTGGTTGTAATGGTGTCTGCTACCTTCCAATTCAAGAAGGATTCCCTGTGCCGATTTGCGAACGGCATATAGGTTGGATAGTCCCTCCTCAGTTTCATGCGCAGCGCAAACATTATCAAAGGCGGCGATCCAAGACGATAAGATACCGATTCTGCGACCAATTTGCCTTAGTTTCAGCATGTTGTTAGTCTTCTCTTGCCTCTCAGGCAACGTGTGTTCGTAAGCATTGCGAATCCGGGCAACACCCTCGCGTAAAACAGCGTCTTTCTTCTCACCCTGCCTGCGGAACTTGACGAAGGCTGCCTTTTCATGATCTTTTGCTTGTGCTTTCAGCTCATTGATCAAATTCATTTGCTCATCGATCTTGACTAGGAAGTCCTTCACGTGTCGGTTAACATTGAACACATTCCGTGTGACCTTGGTCTGGATGTTCTTCGCTCGATTCGCATATCGAAGAGTATTTTGTGTCTCATCGAAGTGCTGGCTCGAGGGGCTGACGCAGACAATCATGACTGTCTTGCAATTGCCACCAAGAGCAAATTTGAGTAATCGAGTGAGCTTGGAATTTCGGTACGGAATGTGATTGCGTTTTCGCGGGTCGCAGAGTGCGTTGATACAGCTTCCCAGAGACAAGAGAGACTTGTTGATATTGGCTCCTTCGAACAAACGTTCTCCTCTGTTCAGTGTCGCGCTAGCACGCTCACTTCCCGCTAAATCTATGATACTGAAGGTGGCCATGGTATGAGGCTCATTGACGTCCGCATTTCGGTCTTTTTGCGCGATGTTGATTTGAAGGACGGCATGCGATCGAGACGAAGTAGCATTTGCTGCGGTAGGAGACATGGTACGGCGCTCATTGCCTTGCATGATCATGTCCATTACCTCCCCCACATTTTGCGGGTGGTAACTTGATAGCCCAGCAACTGAGACTGACTGGTTGGAATCCTCCCGTAGCATCAATCCACCCTTTCCACTGCTACCACTAGGGACAAGCAAGTCGCGAATGGTTTCGTTGTAGATCTCGAGGTAGGAAAGTGAAACTTCGGTCGACTTCTCACCTGCTCGTTCATCAATCCGCTCAAACAGTTCCTGCATGGTCAGAAAGATGATGCCAGGCTGTTGGGCAGTTCCGGTGATTGTGTGCGTCTTTCCACATCCGGTAGCTCCATACGCAAATACCGTCGCATTGTATCCATCGAGCACGTTGTCGAGCAGGCTTCGTGTTGTAGATTCGTATACCTCTCCCTGGGAGGCATTTTGGTCGAAGATACGATCGAAAGCAAAGGTCTGATCCTTGACGCGTTTCCCGTTGGGCACTACGCTCTTGGAGAACTTTTGAACAGGATTGTCCTCTGGGGGGTCAAACACTCTAGTCTAGTCAGGAGCTTGGACCCAATATTCAAAATGCACAGAATACTCACAGACATCGGTCGTCAATCACTTTAACGATGGATCGTATTCCCTTCTGGTTAAGCTTCGGTGCTGGCGCACCCGCGAGGGAACCATCGCCGAGGAACAGGGGACCCTCGTCACATCGAGTGATCTGGGCTGCCTCCCTGATGGTAAAAGGACGGACTCTGACTGCAACGCTAATCGAGGACGCGCCGTCGGAGGCAGCCATGTTGGAAGGTCGGATCGGATCAATCCCAAACCGCGAATCTGTTTTGCGGGGTCGGTAGGCTGTTGGCAACACCCTGCAATGGCCAGGCCAAGGGGGAAGCTTCACGATTCGTCAAAAATACGGAATGTAGAAGAGTCGAAGAATGGATCTAAAGTTGTATGGGGTAGGGGGTGCAGTATTCTCCGAGGGGGGCTCCTTGAAGTGATTTCATTTGTTGATGCGTGTGCATGTTGTCCTAGTGGTTGCTCCGAGCAACCATTTTGTGGTGGTACTTGGTGGTTTGAGAGTGGCAATACTACTTCTTCCACATTTAGCGTTACCAGTCACACAACATATTGAGTGTATTAGGTACTGACACGCTCATCTTGCTCTGTTCCCACGCACTCTTTCCCATGTTCAAGATCAATGTGGCTAGTATTAGGCTTTTTATAGTATTATCCTCAGGATGCTTAAGCAAAAGTTGTGGGAGGCGATAGTATTATCATGATATCTTCTATCAATGTAGCAATTCCCCCAAAGTACTTACATACTGCCACTAAGTAGCAATGCCAGTTGTTTGTATCAAAAAGGCGTGAATATAGAGACATCGATAAGTATGAACGTAACACATCATATCGGTGTTGGTGTTGTCCTAATAGCATTCTTTCTCTGGACAAACGCCATATGATGGTTTGAATTACTAAAACCTCCCCTGAAACGCCCAAAGCCACAATATTTATTTTTTGGCCTGGTTTTCTCTCTTGCAAGTCATCCATGGTGACCCTAGGTATCATGCTTGGTCGTCTTCATAGGTCGGCATGACGACATCCCATCCTGGATCCTCACTATCAAGGTCCATATCAAGACCGCCATCCTGATCCTCACTGGACTTGTGGAAGCGGAAGGCAATTGATTGCCCATCTTGAAGACCCGCCTCCATTATAGTTACTGACTCATTCTGTACCTTTACATCGGCCTGGAGGCGCTTCCAGCCTTTCTCAAGGTCCGCTCGGTCGACGGGCTCACCGAACTCAATGTCACAGGAGTCATCCGGAAGATGGTCGCCATTTAAATCTTTAATATCTCGTGATTTTAAAGCACCCAGAAGCTTTTCTTTGGTGAAGTCGAGTGATTCGTGGGGTTGCAGCATTAGAAGGACAGTAGTTTTGTGCTTCTTGAAGAGGATTGTCACGGCGCGCGAGTCAGTTTTGGACTGTTTGGGCGGCTGCTCGATGATTAGCCTGTATTTGATCATATTCAATTCGAAAGGCCAATTTCCATACCATTTTGAAGATTGCGCGCGAATGAAAGCGTCGGTCGCGTTCTTGTAATGATTGATTTGGAAGAGTGACGGAAGGCGGAAAATCCAGCGGGACTCCGACTTCCGCGCTCTGAATTTCTGAGCTTTGCCAGAGTTCCTCACATTCACCACGTTCTCTACAGCCAAACCGTGGATATTGTTGCTATTTTCCTCCTTCTTCATCCACAGCTTTCATCATGGAGGCCAATAACCCCGCATCTCCCGACTCACGGCATAATTCCATCGTGCTTAAGTTCGTCCACTGGGATAAGCTGTTTGAATCCGACAGCCCTCCACGGTTAGGCATTGAGTTTGGCAAGCGGTTGCCATATGCTACTATGTCAGCATTCTCAACTGGGCTGGCACTAGGATACTACCATGGTAGCAAAAAGGCAGGGCTTGTGTTTCGGGCGGAGAATGCGCATCGTTTTCCCACGACTTCGACCGGATGGTTCCAGTATCATAAAACAAAGAACTATGTTGGTGTGGTGGGAGGCGTTCATGATGGAATGAAGATGGGATTCAAGCTTGGTGCTGGCGCACTTGCATTCTGTCTCTTCGAAGAGACAGTGGACTATGCTCGGCATGACAAAAGGGACTTTCTATCGACAGTCACTGCTGGGTTGTCATTCTCCGGAATATACAGTTTACTAGGTAAGCATACCTTTCTGCTTGGAGATCATTACTGGATGAACCAAAGCTGACCTAGCTCGCCCACAGCTCGTCACGACGTCTACACTGCCGCCCGTACAGCGAAGCTTGGGTTGAAATTGAGCATAACCTATGGCCTTCTGCAAGATGTCCTTGAGACCTTGAAAGGAAATCGCCCTGCCTACGTCGATTTCTTCCTCGGTAACCGTCGGTCCAAGGTTGAGAAGGAAGGATCGATCTGATCATAGGTGGGCCCATGTCACAATGGCTCTCTAGATTCTTCTGTACGCGGAGGTTCCAGACTGGCAGCACGTTAGGACCTCAATGCCGAGAACCAATGTCACAGGCTCTCCCACTTTACTCTTTAGGACGTCCTTCGGTGTTCGATCGAGAAATGGCTGCTCTGTATGCGGCTGCAGGTGGTAGGCATTCGACCCCGGTAAGATGAGCCGCGCATCCGAGTCAATGCCGCCCCGACCACTATATCTAGGTCCTCATCAAACCACTCTGAGATATTTAGTCCGGTGACCATCCCGGCCTTTTGCTCTCTGATTGTGTTCTTCGACAGCAACGCTCACACCACACTCCTGGTTACTTGTATTATTTGCATTTCTTTTTGATACCCACTTTAGCATCAAACAAGATGAACATTTTTGCCCTTAGGCTGCTACGAAGAGGCACGTGACCCATCGCCGGAACTTGTGTTGGAGTATGATCAGGCCCCAAGTCGATTGGCAACGCCATTGTGGCGTGACTAGATTGCATTTGGACTAGAATCCTATCAGATTTCATAAACAATATATGAAGTTCCACGAGTTAATAATATATATAGGGGTTATTAGGTCATAGAGTACCTCCACCTGGGCAGGGCTGGACGTAATGTAATATAACGTAAGGTCATCTTTAGATGTTGTCACGATACCAAGTTCTATAGCATCTAGTAAATCAGGTGATTCCTCATGAAAAGCCCGTAGATTTTTCCCCATTTTTTTTTTCTTTGTTTCCGGGTTTGAGCAAAAAGATAGAGAAGATCGGCCTGGGTGCTGCAGGTTCAAAGGATGCGATTGACCGCTTAGTGAGATCCCCCACTTTTTAAGAAAAAAGAAAAGAAAAGAAAAGTGTTCAAGATCGAATGCTACCAGACCTATAACTTCGAAATATCCCCCAAAAATTTCCAAGGTGGAGGTTCTCATAGGCTTTCCGAAGGTTCCCAGCTGATCGGTGGAGAAACCGCATTTGACGTCGATTCGGAAAACCCCCACCTCACGGAAGACCTGAGCTCGAACTGATCATCTCTGACCTTCTTTTTTCCCCTTGGCTTCTTTCTATACCCTACCTTCCATGTCTCTCTGTTAAACTCTGCGATAGCAACCCATTGGGGCGAAGATGCCGATGCGAAGTTCGACGCTGTTCTCGTCGACGTCATCGATTTATTGACTTCTTTATGCCTGGGAGAAATAATTGAACCCATCCCATATCCCACAACCTCATTCAGAATATCTTGATCACAATGCGTCGCCATGGCAGGTCCAGTGGTGGTCCAACAAAGGCTGTCTCGCCCTTGTCCGACACTGTATCCCTCATACGTTCGTTCGATTCGGTCATGAACCCAAACCGACCCGCGCGTCCCTCGCCCTTGGCCTCCTCCCACATCAAAGCTTTGCCTTTGGAACTGATAGATCGGTTGCGGTCTTTCCCACTGTTTCAATCTACTCCAGAATCCTTTTTGATCGAGGTCGGACAGCATCTGCGCCCACAGCTCCATGCACCCAACGATTACATCTTGACGGAAGGCGATGAGGCAAAGGCAATATACTGGCTGGTGCGGGGTGCCGTTTCGGTCACATCTCGGGATGGTGAAAGTATATACGCCGAGCTTAAACCCGGTGCGTTCTTCGGGGAGATTGGATTGCTCATGGACCGTCCTCGCACTGCAACCATTATCGCCCGGACTCGATGCATGCTGGTCGTGCTCACAAAAGAGGACTTTCGGAATATATTGCCTCGGTTTCCGGAGGTCGAACGGGCGATTCGGGAGGAGGCGCAGGAGCGATTGATGATTTTAGAAAAGAAAAAGAAAGAAACCTCCGCGCCCGCACTGGATTTACCTAGCCCGGCGCGAAGGGGCTCAAAAAGATTGCGTGAGAGCTTTTCCAAGGATTTAGCCGTTGCAGAGGATGATGGGGACTCGAGTGCCAAGTCTGTGTACAAGAAGAGGAAGTCACCGAGCCCCGGTCGGCGGGATAGCTCCAGTGCGTTGGCAAATGGATTGGTCAACGTACGTCTCTTACTTAAGGAGCTGCCACTTTTTTCCGGTTTGCCTGCCGATATCCTTCATTACCTTGGTCTCAATGCCCAACCGTGTTCTTTTCCTCCATTTACCGACATCATAAAACAAGATTCCCAGGGCCGTGAGCTCTACTTCATTGTTCGCGGCGAGGTGGAGGTTCTTACGGAAAAGGACCATTCATCAGAAAACAAAAATGGTCCAAATGGGCTCATTGAACGGCCCGGAATTGAGGTTAAAGCTAGGCTGAAGCAAGGCCAGTACTTTGGCGAGGTGGTCAGTCTAGATTTAGCACCTCGGAGAACCGCTACAGTTCGATCTGTGACTTCAGTTGAGTGCTTGATGCTCAGTGGCGACGTTCTTGCTGAATTTTGGGAGAAATGCCCTAGCGGCGTACGGGAACAAGTCGAACGCACTGCCCAAGCAAGGATCCAGGGGGCAGCGGACGGTGATGTTGTCATGTCTGACGATGCAGAGCCACAACCATCTATGGGTAATCTCGCCCTCGACGACAAAGTAAAGATCGCATCATCACGGCGACGGTCAATGCCTCTACTTACCCTCACTGAAACGGAACTGGATGGACCACATCAGTCCTCACGCGTTGAAGACGAAGAACAGGCTGTGTTACGGCCCTCCGATCCAGACCCTTACTTCAGCATGGGTCTGGATAAAGTCCGGATGCGAAGTCGACGCGGCTCGCTAGCACCATTAGCCCCCGAGGAGGTATCAGGGGAGCAGCAGCGGCCATCTTCTACGGAGCCACGCTCTGCCAGTTTTTCAACCATCGCCCTTCCCGAAAATGACAACCTCTCCAAATCATATCAGACTGAACGGCCCCGGATTGATGGCTCCAATGGATTATTGCCGGACAGTGTACTGCTGAACGTCTTTCAGTTCCTTGAGCTCCACCAACTTCTTCGGCTTAGGGCAGTTTCGTCCCATTGGTCACAGCTCTTGAAAAAATCTGCGGACGTGGTTCATGATTTAGATTTGAGCGTCTACAACCGTAAGATTACAGATGACGTTCTTGTTAAGATTATTTGTCCATTTGTGGGCAATCGAGCCCGATCGGTCAATATCAACAATTGCTTTCACATCACCGACGAAGGCTTCACGGCATTGTCTGCGACTTGCGCCCCTAATACAACCGTGTGGAAGATGAAGAGTGTGTGGGATGTCACGGCCTCTGCCATTCTCGACATGTCTAGCAAGGCCACTAATCTGCAGGAAGTAGACTTGAGCAATTGCCGCAAGGTCGGAGATACACTTCTTGCCCGGATCATTGGATGGGTAGTGCCTGCCGACCAGAAAATGGGCGAGAAACAGTCATCGATCAAACCCACAATCCAGACAGCAGAACGTACTGTGTACGGCTGTCCAAAGCTGAAGAAACTTACCCTCTCGTACTGCAAACATGTCACCGATCGATCTATGCATCACATTGCGTCTCATGCCGCTGGTCGGATTGAGGAAATGGATTTGACCCGTTGCACCACTATCACAGATCAGGGGTTCAAATACTGGGGGAATGCGCAGTTCACCAACCTGCGAAAGCTTTGCTTGGCGGATTGCACGTACTTGACGGACAACGCCATAGTCCATCTAACCAACGCGGCTAAGAACCTGGAAGAGTTAGATCTGGTAAGTCTAGTCTTTGTTGAGTCTTGTCAAGCTCAAAGCGAGATTTCATGTTTTACTAATCTCTGTCAGACTTTTTGCTGCGCATTGTCAGATACAGCAACCGAGGTGCTTGCATTGCAGTGCTCACATTTGAAGTATTTAAACATGGCCTTCTGCGGCTCTGCAATTTCCGATCCTTCTCTCAGGAGCATTGGTCTTCACTTACTTTCTCTCCAACATCTATCGGTCCGTGGCTGCGTTAGAGTTACTGGAGTTGGCGTCGAGGCTGTCGCGGAGGGTTGCCACCAACTCAGGATTTTCGATGTCAGTCAATGCAAGAATCTCGGACCCTGGCTAGAGGACGGTGGTGCCGTCCCCTATCAGCGGAGAATCGAATTTAAAACTGTCGCCCCAAACAAGAAGGTTCCTCAATGAACAAGCAAGCCCATACAAAGCTTGGCCTTTTTCGTTGCACACTCCTACTCCGGTTTCTGTACCGTTACTTTTCCCTCCACAACGACGCCTGAGGGGACACCCATCCTCGAAGTTGCATGATACATTTATTTTTTGGCACTTAATGTACGACTTCCTAATCTTTCTTGTTATTAATTTCTAGGCTCATTGTTTTCTAGTTCCTGCTTTGCCATCGCTAACTGATCTCGGCGTTTGAATTTACCTGGACAATCTTCTTCACTTTCGGATTACAATCTTTTGGGCTGCAGGTTATGTTTTGACATTCTGGTGGGGATTTCGGATCTAGCCCATGGGCAGGCCAAGCATGGAGTTCAAAGACTGAAGGCATCTAGTACATGGGGTTTATTGCTTTTCCTTTTTACTCAATGTTCTTGGGCTATCTATCTTTTCTTACGACATAATGCTGCGCATCTATCTTATTTCACATTTGCTGTATTATAGGGTGCTATCTATTTCTGTATCTTACATTAAATGTAGAAATTCATTTGACTATAAACTAACAGACTTGCTATCTGGGTAAAGGCAATGCCACGGGATACATTCACTAGTACGTTCTACCTGCTGGACTTCATGACCCAAGTCAGCAGTTGGCAAGCACAGTGTTTTGGCGCAATCTGCTGCGCAAAGGCCAAACAACAGCGGTTGGCTTGGTATATGTGATTGATGAAAGTCATCTTCAAGGAATATAAGCGACTAATAACAGTGAAAATTGCCTTAATTCGATAGAAGGCAGCTTCGTATACTTTTTCCACCTTTCACTCCCAGCATTATCAATCAACTCCCGTTGGAGATGCGAATCTCCGAGAAACGAGCCAATATAAGACGCCATGTGTGCCGGGGTTAGCCTTTACCACGCTTTTTTACACTGCTCTTCTGATCATTCAAGTACAGAATTGTTGATCCTGGGCTGGTCGTCTGGATCTACTAATGGTCTAGGAATGGAACTCTGAATCTGAAAACGAGCGCTTCATGTGTCTCTATCTGTTTCACCTGAAACATATTCCCAATTATTTGGAGTCAAGCAGTATAGTACTCATAGGTTGTGGTAAATAGGCTCGCTGGCTGCCATTCTCCAGTTGAGTACCTATGACCGAGCCATCGGATGACTCCATTTGGGATATATCAAGTGAATTTGAAGACACAAAATGGTATTCTATTACGTCTGTAAGCTCCGAAGTGTCACGCATACCTTCAAGCTTGGACGAAGCGGCTGGTACATCACTTGACATTACGGACGAAATGAAAGTGGCCACCGAAGCTGAGTTGGCCGTTGTTGCCAATGGGGCAGCGCCCTCTTCTATCATCCAGACTTTGCAGAATACAACACTAGGAAACTCCCGTCGTTTAGGTACTCGTCTTTCCAGAGACCTCAGTCAGTAACGCATCGCGGCTCGTAAGCTCCGCGGTCTGAAGGTGACAGCAGCTGTCCAATCTGCCCTTATTCTTGCTGTGCGACTATCTCTCCTTCCAGTGGACGGTCGCCTAGTCTGTTTCAACACCTATGATGTTCGCAATCGGGTTTCGGCGCCATGGAGTGGGCCTCAGGGAGCGACTGGCCTGTATCATACAGGCCGGCCCTGCAGCATTGACTTGGGTGCCAACAAGAATTACGATGCCATTGCTGCAAATTTGGCTTCCTACTACCAACGCAATCTAGAGCCACTTTTCCAAATTATGCCATGATACGTACAGAGTATCAGTTCACTGCTGGCAGCACCGCTAGAATTGGCAATCCAAGCACCGGGTGCCGCGTCTTCCAAGCTCACTTGATGTTATCGACGACCGTCTGCCAACACTTCATACAGGCCCCGCAAACACTGTGGTAATTGAAGAGTGGCGGCTAGGTGTTTTATGAGCGCGAATTTGTCGAGGGGCTTTTGGAAGAGTGGAAAGCCAAGTTAGTGGGGGAGCTGATTGCCTCGTCGCGGACTTGAGGGCTTCCTGTGAATGATCTGCAAGCGCGTGTGCCCAAAATGGACCCGCTTTGACTCTGTCGCATACTAATCAAGCCTAGTATGGAGGGCACTCAATGTAAGGAGTAGCCTCCAGATGAACGGGCACGGTTATGAGCTCTGTTAGTTCTCGAAAATTTTTATCATTCCTAGAGTGCGTATGAGCTAGACAACATAGCAACATGACTGGAAAACTCACCTGGATTGTGACGGGCTGTTCCTCTGGCATGGGAGAATGTCTGGTCCGGGCAATCCTTACGGCGGTACGATACTGAGTTCTATTTGCATGTCAATCAAATTTTACTAATCAATCACAACCAGGGCGATCAAGTGATTGCAACGGCTCGACCGGGAAGCACGAATGCTGTTGATCGCATAGCTCCACTCAAGGAGGCAGGAGCCGCTGTGATGGAGGTAGATGTCACAGCGTCAGCAGAAGTGCTCAATGCTAAAGCCAAAGAAGCATGGGCAATATATGGGAAAATTGACGTCCTTGTGAACAATGCTGCCTACATTGATGCGGGTGTATTCGAGGAGATCGAGTGAGCCATCAACAGAACGTGTAGAATGGATGTGACAAGACCTGACATCAGCTCCAGTGAAGCATTCCTGACCCAGGCCCTCCGCAACAATGCCATTGGTCCTCTCAATCTTACACGCGCCTTCCTTCCATACATGAGGGAGAGGCGGTCTGGAACTATTCTTTTCATGTCATCCGTGGGTGCGTACTATGGTGCACCCGGCGCCAGCGCCTACGCAGGCTCGAAGGGTTTACTTGAAGGGCTAGTGCCTAACCTCAGCCTGGAAATCGAACCATTTGGTCTCCGAACGTGCATGATCACGCCTGGTTACTTTCGTACTAGTGCTATGACACCAGGGAATATTCTGTACCGAGCACCGAACCCATTACCGGAATATGTGGAGATGAATTCGCAGATCAAGGCAGGTTGTAATGCCGCGGACGGGAACCAGCCCGGGGATCCTCTCAAAGCGGCTACTTTGATAGTGGACGCTGTCAGAGGTCAGGGCCCATGTGCAGGCAAGGAACTTCCCTCTTGGCTTCCATTAGGAGCCGATGCAATAAAGGCGATCAGAGATAATTGCCAGGCAAAGCTAAAAGTCTGTGACGAATGGGAGGACTTTGCATCTGCTACCAATTTTTGAATATTCCGGTATCGCGAAAAGTGCTATTGCAGCTCAAACAAAGTATCAAAGGAATAGCAGAGGCAAGAAGTGATTGATCGACCGACAAAAAATATCAAAAATGCAAAAGCGATTCTTGGAAGGGGGGCAAGGCCGAAGTGCTGAATGATTGGAATTGAAGTGACAGATAAAACACTTTTTGATAGAGCCGAGGGCAAATTGAGGTGAACTCAAGAAGGCCCCATGTGCTGTTTGCGCATCGTTCATTATTTGATGATTCCTGGGATCGCGTCTATCACTCCACCTGCACCCGAATAATCAAAAGCTCAAGCGACACCTCTTGACGGTTTACTTTGACATCTTTCATCTAGAATATGCTTTAATGATTATTCAATTATCGGCAACCCTGACAGCATACCCCCATACTAGTATATAGTTGAAGCAAGCTACATCGGGCAAATGCATTCATCATCATTATCTTCATCACATATTGCCCCATACATGTCGACAGCCACCCCCAACCCCAGAGTCTCAACTAAGCTCATGGATAACCCCCCCCATTCACCTTTGACTTGGCGTCCATGGACCCAATCTCATGTATAGCATTCGGCTCTGATGACATCTCCGAAGCCTGCCACGCTAAAGCACCATTTTGTAGTATAAACTGCGCCTGCGGGGCCATATATGCGGGCGATGACAATGCGTGTTCGCTATCAATCACTGAGGTCTTATCACGGCCGCAGCAACCCACGATTCTCTTGCGAAAGATGATGAGCACCACGATTGCGACGGCTGCAAAAGATACGACTATTATTCCAGTTATTGCGCCGCCTGATAGATGGTAGGTTTTGTCTGTTGGAGTGTCTGGGCTGGAGCGAGGAGTGTGATGGATGTGTGTTACGACTAACGATTAACAGTACCGTTAGTGGTTGTTATGGACAAGACACGGGGATGACTCAGCTATTCGCGGGAAGATTGGTTCTGCTGTGGAGTTACATACTAGATGAGCGGGCTATAGCGGTCATAGCCATCATGATGCCTGTGAGCAATACTGTTGTTATTCGTTATCCGGGCTATTAAGACTTGGCTTGAAAACTTCAGACTTAATATCCCCAGACAGCAGCATCTCGGATCGGAGCTACACAGTATTAGGGGCTAGGGGTCGAATATTTCAAACCAGGGTCTCTATAGGAGTGGAGCCATAGGAATCTTTGAAAGGCGTGCTGATGGCTGAATAGTCTAGTTTCAGGCCGCCCCCAGAGGGTTTCGGTGTGTGGCGTTACATTTATCCCCTGTATGGAGTAGATCATCCATTCTTGTAGTAACAACACATTCATCTTTCTGATATCTCTCATCTCAGGCGTATTCTGTATTCGTTATCAATGTCTAAAGGCAGAGCATTCTAAAATAAACAAGCCTCTATATATATAGTATATCTATGCATTCCTATTTTCTGAATGGAGTACATAATTTTGATCGAATTATCTCCGATCCGACGATTGAAGGTTGCTTATGCGGTCAGATAAGATATAAAAATCCCCCTCCTAACATCTTACTATTATTTTCAATTCTATTAAGCACGAAGTTGAGCATGTTGATTCTTGGGCTGTACCCTTGAAATGAGCTCAAATAGCATCAACCCCCTCAAAATGGGGGTGAACCCTGATAGCTAGTATACGCAGTAAGTACTCGATATTTCGTACTGCTTCGTAGACCCACCTTATTCTTGAAGCTGAAACCAATCGACAACAGACCTACAACATTGTATTATTCCTGAGGCGAGACAGAATTTCATCGTCCTTCTGGTTACCAGGTGCTTGGCCTTCATGCTGTAGCCAAACTTCCTTCTAATGTCGAATCCCCACCTATAACACACCCAAATTGTATATAGTCCACGTCCACTTTTTTCAATTTTCACATATCAAATCAACTAATTTTGACCCTCTTTCCTTCCTAGGGTAATCCACTGGCTAACTGCCATCTGCTCCTCCCCGCCCCTGCTACTATTTTAGATATTACTTTACCGCGCTCTGCTAATAGAATATTGTCCATCATGATGGGTAATTCAAGGAAACTGACGCGTTGTGATCGCGATCTAGTATCCAGCCCGCGGCTCGGCAGTGGATTATGTCAGGACAAGCGTGTTTTTTGGTCCACTCAGCGATCGACACAGTAAGCTTGTTTTGCACAGCCCCGTTTCAATACCTCAGGGCTTTTGTCAGGCGGCTGCCCTTTGGTATCAAGGGTGTGAAACGCCCTTATGAACCCTCTCGCCATCACATCAGACCAAGGATCGAATGGCACCTGTTTAGACTTACCAATAATCAGTTTTCATCATGGTCATCCTGTCAAGGACGTGTCAGAGTTGCGCAAGCTCGAAAGTTCGCTGCATTCGTAATGCGGAAAATCCACATGTGTGTAATCGGTAGGGCCTTCCGGTGTCGACACATTGTGGGATAAACATAGGGCTGATCGATCTATAGATGCCTTCGCCTCGGTCAGGCGTGTCTCTATCGCCAAACCGGACGCCGGTTCCATGGATTTCAAAAAGACCAGTATGCATATTCCCTGAAAGAGTTATAAGTGGGCATATGTTTTAATGTCTTGTAGGAAGATCGAGGCTCTTGAGGCGAGGATCAAAGAGCTATTAACTGACCGCGCCGTGTCGGCGGATACTTCCCGAGTACCGTCGGAGCGGGAGGCCAGTTCGCGAAGTGCCTCCATCGCCGACGACGAGAATGACAGGAAAGACGTTGTCGACCGGGAATATCTCAGCGTGGAGACGGCGCAGACTTATTTGGAGGCCTTTAGGACCGTGATGACTCCTCATTTCCCTTTCGTGATCATCCCACCGGATGTATCCGTCAACCACCTACGCCAGGACAGGCCGTTCCTGTTCCTCGCGATTATTGCCACTGCATCTTTCGAAAATATGCCGCTGCAGCGATCTCTCGGGGCCGAAGTCAAGAAAGCTGTTTCTTCTCGCATGATCTTGAATGGAGAGGTCTCTTTTGACCTACTTCAAGGGCTATTGGTGTTCTTGGCATGGTAAATGCGCATTCCCACTAACCCGAGTATTATAGTATATCAATTTACCTGACAGTATGATAGGTCGCATTACCACACAAAGCCACATCGCTACACGCAGTATCTCCAACTGGCGATAAGTCTCATTATCGAGCTACGGCTGGACCGAGCACCACATACCAAAACGTGGAAAACGGGGCTCAAATTTCGAGCCGATGAGCCTGGAAATCAGGATACTTCTGAGCGGGCATCCTGGAGCAATGATGAAAAGAGAGCTGTCATAGGATGTTACTACCTATCGTCATCGTGAGTTAATATGGTCTTGGCCTATACGCTATAGGATACTGAAGGAATGTTAGGGTCGCGACCTTCCTTCAAAAACCCTCTACCTTCCCCTATTTTCCATATATCGAAGACTGCTGCCAGTCTCTCCACGATGCAGGCGAGTATTCTTACGATCGATACATAATGCACATTGTGCAGCTACAGCATGTCGCCGAGAAAATAGATCGTCTGCCCTCTGATCATGGGGATGAACTGTTGAGACCCGGGTCTGGTATAGAGCTCTATGTGGCAGGCATAAAAGACGACCTATCAACCTTTCATAAGCGATTGACTTTCAATATCTATGACTGTCGTGGGTGATTCGCATTCCATCAAATTACTATTCAGGATATCCGACTGATTGACCTTCCAGCATTTCTTGCGTTTCACTTCCACTCTACAGGTCTTTGTCTCTACCAAATAGCTCTCAGCATGACAGATCAGCAACTTCCCTCTACATTAATAGCTCCACCTTCCCAAACCTGGCGTGAGGAATTGTCACACGCAGCTGTCAATGCAGCAGCATCAATTATCAGTCTTTACATCTCGCTTTCACCCGCGTTAGAGTTAGGCTTCACCAACACGCAATGGATACAACTGGGATTCGCCATGCTCGTTGAGTACCGCTATACGGTCGCAGCTTCAAGCCCAGAGAGAACACAGGCGTATCTTCGGACCCTGGAGTTGCTTCGGCAACGGGTGGAAGGCTTGTCAACGCCCAGCGTCGATCACAATGGGGATCGGGATGTCTTTATCGAGTTCCGAAAGCGGGTTACTCAGATACAGGACCGGCTTGATGGGGGTAAGAAAGATGACACACCTAGCGGCAATCTCCACTTTGAGAGTTCAGTCGACAGTACTCAGGTTATAAACCCGGAATTTGCGCTTGAGGATGTCGGCTCTGTAGAGTGGGCCGACCTGCCCCAGGATATGCTTGGGTTTATGGAGGGCTGGCAGTCACTGGACGATCTTCTCCTCAATAACTCTGTAGAACAATTTTTCAATACCTGGACCTAATTTGAAAGTGGTATCTGTGAGAAAAGTCGCTGATGGTATGTAATAGTATGTAGATCTACTGAACATCCCAATGAGTCGATAGGTCCATATAGTTTTTCGGTTAAATTCCACTAAAAGCCTATTAGTGCCCAGATGTCCATAACTACCTAAGCAAAAAAGTTGAATAAATATATCGCGTGTGATGGGTATTTCCAATAATAACAGAGGTGGCAGTGCTGACGGTATTTTATCTTCATGTCCGATCCGGCGTGCCAGGTGAGTCTCTCCTGCCGAACCAACGCCACAAGCTAACGCATCTCCCATCACCAACCGCTGACTGAAGCCCATCGCTAATACACCAAATTGGAATGATTCCGTCAGATAACCATTGGTCATCCACAGCGCGGGCTTTCGCGCCAATGAATCGCCAGTGATTAATGTGCACGCCATCTTTAGTAACAAAGGAACTAAAGAGAGCCTGTATAGCTCGTATTTAGGCCTGATTCCGGACTGAGCAGTCGGCTATGCCATCCTGTCTGCCGACACGGACTGTTACGACTCACGAGACCACGTCTGACATGATCAATATTTAGAATGTCAGCATGGACTCAATCTGTCTCTCCCAGCTTTAGAGGAAACTTCAATTTATACCCGAACAATGACCTTTTTGGCGTCCTTTGGACTGCTTTGTAGTCCCTTTTCTTTCTTAATATCTTGTGCAAGGCTTTGTCTATCGGGTTTAGACATTCATCGAGATAAAGACAAAGGGCTCAAAGATCATTGTATCTTGCTCTAATATACCTTTCTCCTCGCAATCGTGCTGTTCTTATCTATACCAAGGCTTCTATCTTCTTCGGTGTGACTATACACTACTCTCAATCAATCTTTTTTAGCGTGGGGAAATTTGAACTCATTGCTGAGGACCACATGCGTTTTGAAAGTTAGATGATAACTTATTGCCATCAAACCCTATACTAGTTTGAAGTACAGCAGATACCAACGTCCTGGGTAGTTACAATGGCGGCTATTTCGATATCCAGCACACTCAGTATACTGTCTATACTCGGTCTTCGGTTTCTATGTATCTCACAAGGCCTGGATTTTTTTTCTCTCTGTCCGTCCTATGTTGTTTCGGGTAGTCATCTCACGATCTTTTCGCTGGTCATTCATATCCTTTTCACGGTATTTACTTGGTGATTATAGATAGTGCCTCTTGCGATCCATCAATTAAATAATCAAGATAGGGCGCCATCGGAGAGTAAACAGCACATGCCCCTTCCAAAAGCCTAGCTCTTTCCTCATACTTGGAGCAATCTTCAGTTTGTATCCTCTTTCTTCTGGTTTCATGAGTCACAAAATAATAACACCTGGGCACTGACCAGAACTCCAGCTTCTTGACACGCTCAGGTAATTCATCTCACTTTTTTGTATCGAATTCATTGAACTAATTTTGAAACAATTGATCAATGCTGCAAAATGGAAACCACCATCAATATATTCAATGCATTTCTTCAGTCCCAAATTTGCTATTTTGATCGATGAGTTATCGTGCTTACCCTGGCTCCGTGGAAAATGTTGACTTCCAAGGTTGTCCAGCTCCAATGAAATCCTAGCTCCTCCGCGCCTAGCATATTTAGTATACATATCATATTAGCTATATATGATCTATCCTCCATTTATTAGAGAATTGCCACGAATGAGATCTGAACAACTTAGAAATACAATATACGGATAACGACATCTGAGGGAATACGGTATCTGAGGGAATACGGTATCTGAGGGAATACGGTAGATAAAGATCTACCAGGAAAGACTTAAAGGACGGTGCAAACCAGCCACAGAAATGATGAGTTATCTTTTCACAGGCACCTTGATATTTTGGTTGCTCGAGGCAGAATATGCAAGAAGCTAGAATCGATAAACAAGAGCAAAAAGAAAACAGCCCTGGTTGAAAAAAGAAGAACAACAAATCTCATCCTAACCACGCTGTTTCTTCGCCTTTAGATGATTTAGATACATGGCAGAAAAACAAAATAGAACGAAATAATGTGCAGAGACCCACGTAGAATGCAAAAGAAACGAAAAGAGCTAAGAAACGATCATTTGCAGATGATCACTTCGGAATATTCGTTGAGAATTGCTCTGAGATCAATCGCACGATGGGAAGTTGGAGAGTCATCATCGGAACTGACGAACAATGCCTTAAAGTCCGGACGGATGCCCTTTGCTACGTTTTCTTGGAAAATGATTTCTCTGTCTTCCAAATTCTCAGGTTGAGGATTATGACCAGTCCGAGGATCAAGGCCACCCGCGAGAACATCCTTTCCTTCTGGGTGAGTAGTGCTGTTGGTATCTGTGTCGGTCTCACTTGGAAGAATGACAGCCACATCACCGTCAAGAACAACCAACCTGCCCTCGGTAGAGCCCCCTGCGCTGAGCATCACAGAGTACTCCTCACTGGAATCTTCTTTTTGGTTCCCGGTAATTTCATGCGGCTGGTTTGCTTGAATACATGGTAGCCCACCCTCATGGGAGTCGCACACGGGCGAATCTGGCAACTGTGCTTGGGATGGGACTGGGACAACACCTTCGTCAACAGGCCGGGGGGGGACTATAGATACCGACGGGAGGATCCAGACCTGCTGAGGTCACATCAGCCGCAGTAGCAACGGTCTGGTGGAGAGACCTATGGTCACTATCCACCCGGGCCAAGCCCTCCAAACCCAGCTCATTGATTTCTACAGCAGCGGGGCACTCTGGCAAACGCTGCTCTCCCTTCGGTCCGAGATTGGCTGTATTTACGGGCTTCATATCCGCTACCATGCTTAGCGGCAGTTTGACAATTTCCACGTCATTTTCAAAGTCCAAGAGCACGCCCGTTGGCGGCGATGGTCTGGTCACGGCAGCTCGAGCTTCAGGGGTCTTGAGGCCGGCATTAGGGCAGGTTAAATTCCTCACTATGCCCCTAGGCTTACTTGCTGTTGCCTGAGCCGGTGCTTTTTGTCCGCGGTTAGCGCGGCTTTCGGGGACTTCAGTCTTGCTCCTGATAGTTGGACGAGGTCTGCGGTTGTCATTGTAGGGCACGCGGTGATTTCCACGCCTGCGGCTATCAAATGGAGGCTGTGGATAAACTAATGTTATTATTCAAAAAATAATCATTTGTTATAGAGCATCCTGTACTCACAATGCGGGGAAACTCCTCATCTTGAAGTCCAGGACAGGGAGAATTAGCAAAACATTTGTTCTCGAAGAAAAGTGCGAGGTTGCCTTCTATTTGGCACAACTCAACAGCCAGCATGATCTCGTCATTTTGTACGAACTGTTTGTCGGGCAAGTGAGCACAAAGATTGAAGTAAATCTGAGGAAAATAGTCATGACTTACCCAGCTATGGCAGTCGCGAATGAGGGACTGGGCCTTGCGCATCTTGTTCAAAGTGCGTGCGGCCATTCTCAAAGTAAGTGATGACGTTATGCTGAAGTAAAAGTGCAATGAAAGTATGGGGATATGTAGATATTGGGTGTTGAGTACTTAGTGCCGCGAAACTGCAGCGAAAAGTTCAAGCTGGTGGTGACAAGGTGTGGAATGAAATAAAGAATGAGGAATTTCAAATATTCCCTGCAGTCGTTGAAGCGTACTGTTGACAACTGGGCACATGCAATGTAAGGCAATGGTTGATGAGAGAGTCGAAGGAAGATCTAAAGAATGCCTGTTTTATACCTCAGCCCTATTGAGCCATTGCCATTGTAGGCTTGAGTTGAGGTCTGAGATTACAGACTCTTACTATATGCTTGTTCATCGCCTTATCTAGGTCTTTCTTTTGATAAACACTACCGTGTATACGTTGAGGTTTTAAAGCTACGATCTTAAAGAGGTTCATGGATTTCAACATTATAAAAGTTGCTCCAAACTAGGTAGTATACAAGTCATATTACATGTGTTACGTTTAATGCTCAAATACTGAATTCCTGGCCTCCTATTGATAGTTTTAACTGCGTCTCTGAAATGTGAACTCCGTATCTATCTATTTTACTTCTGATACTCCTCACTTCTCGGCCATCTATTATGCACAGCGCGTCTCTTCGCCTGGGTGCTCAGCAATCAAAAGATATACCCTCAACATCAAGTTCTACCTGTACTCGAGCATTCTGCCGTACTGAAATATAGTAGTGGCCCATTAGATCCAGCAAATTCTGGGGGTAATAGCCACGGCTCGATTTCTAGTCCATGAGAGCCACCAATTGGTAAATCACAAATTTACAATAACATGGGTCTGGACATGCTGCATCATTTGATACGCCAGTAGCAGCTTCTCCCTCCATCCGAGTATCTCGGGGTCAGCCTGCTGTTGGCTGGTTTGACCCCGGTGCTTGGCAACCTGCCCCATTTTCATTCACCAACCTGAAGATATCAATCACAGTCCACATTCATCGAGACCTCAGCCTAGTCCCACAACCAGAGGATGAAACTTGACATAACCCATCGAAACAACTGGGGACGTGGAAGGCCTCGTCAAGTACATCAACAGACATCCGTGCTTGCAACCCGCTTATAGCGAAGTAAAGGCTGGAGTTATGTTCCTCTGCCTATGGAGTAGATGGCGACCAGAAATCAAGACAGGTATTAGCCTTGGATACATGCTTGGTAGAGAGATGCAATGTATATTGATTGACTCTTCCTGGTTATTTTCTGACAATTTTACTGTTCAATGGCAGGTGATACAACACACCGCACCCATGATCTTCAATCTATACGGAGTACCTAATGAGTATATAGGGGCACTAAGCCAGAAATGGCAATCTTAGATATTAGCTCATGGAATTTGACGCACAAGGTCAACATGGAGAAAACGTGTCTTCGCATGTTTTAAACCAAACCAGATCTGCTCTTGCATCAGATAATGGCATCATCCAATGCAGTCTGATCAGAACTTGTTTGACGAAAACAAACCAATAATCAAATCCCCTTGCATTTCCTCGTGACACATTCCTGGCCGCCAAAGCGTCCATAGCTAACTTCAAGGGATTGGATCTACTTGATAGATTGTACTCCATATATAGATTTTGTCACGGTTTATTCTAGAAGAAATACCTTCTGAAAACAATCGGTGGCAAGGGGGTGCAAAGAGCCCTGGAGGACCACAGGGATATTCTTATCGGTTATCGGTTCCCCCCTTTTTTCCCGCACTCAGCCACGCATAACCGAGAACGAAAATCAGAAAGGACCACGATCTCTCTCCCTTTTACGCCCGTGCCCGACATTAGCGATCTGCGTTCCTGTGCAGTGCTTGGTCCACTGGTGCTTGGCAACTGACGACCGAAGCATATAAGGTTAGCTGTTCTTGGATCGCCATTTAAATACGGATAGATTCATAGGTCCAAGTCTTGGGGGCGAAAGTGAGCTTCCTAGTGCGGAATACGGGTTCTTGGTGCCGAGTGCGCCGAGAGAGGATATTGTGTAGCGAGGTCTTGGAAGCTTGCAGCCTAATGTGAGGCTTCGCATAAATAAGATTATCGAATTTTGGGGCTGATACCTACTCTTTGTCTTAATGGCCACATTATTTTTGGCCGTGGACTAGATGGAATTCGCTAAACCTAATTGGTTCGGCTTAAGACGCCCAGCGGACATCGGAAGTCCGAGTCACTCCCTACTATAGGGGTATCAAAAAGTGTACCTGTACGGAGTACAAAATTGCAATATGTCAACATTGTATGCTCTGCGTGGAGGAGTGGATATTCAATTGTAACGGAATTGTACTTTACTGTATACATTTCTAAACTGCAGATCACCTGTTAAATGCGCCGATCAAGGGAAAGAGAAAGCGGAAAGTACCAAAGCTCACGCTAGTATTGTATCCATACATCCATTTTCGACAAACACCTGGGGATGTCTCAAGTAACGGTCACGCATGGGTATTTGAGAATCATTGGTTAGATAGGTTAATTTGAGTCAACATTAAGATTGGTTTTCAAATTACCTTGAGACTCTTTGTCATACCACCTTTGTGAGAAGCCTTGGACTTATTAGACATATCAACCCCCTAACCTTGGTAGATTGCTGACCGAAAGTGTCCGATACCATCTAATACCATTTAATACCAAACTCAAGACTGAAATGCCCCAAACTTCTCCAGAGGAAGGAAAACAGAAAATAGATAAAATAAAAATAAAAAGGAAGAGCCAACCAATCAGATGCCTCCCTAGGTGCGAACCGACCCTTTTTACTTCCGACCCGTGGACCCTCCCTTCTAGGGTCAACGGAGTCCATCCTAATTTGGTTAGTGCCTGTCAATTTATGTTTTTATGTTTTTACGTTTTCATGTTTTTATGGTTTTCATGGTTTCATATTTTTCCAGTATGAGATGAATATCAGTATTAATAACTATTCGTCCCCCCTCTTCTCCGATCGACCTTCTTCTCTAATTTTTATCCTCGCAGTGGAATATTTTTTTTTCACTTGCTGCCTGTCGTTTTGATACACATTTCACCTAACCCCTTTTTTTTGGTTCCCCACACTTTCCCTCGTTTACCTGTGGCTTGAATTCAAATTCTTCCTGTCATTTCCGCTGTACATACCAACTGTACATAATGGTTCGCTTTGTGACACCTTTCGTCCTGGCCTCGCTGTCAGTCAGCGCCTTGGCCGCACAATCCTGTAGCACCAGCAAGCAGTGCAAGGATGAGAAATACCCCTGCTGCTCTCGTGAGTGAGACCGTTCTTCAGATCGGAATCGGTAGCTAATGGCTCATTCAATACAGAATATGGTGAGTGCGGTACTGGCGCCTTCTGTCTCGGCGGCTGCGACCCTCTCGCCTCCTTCTCCCTCGATTCCTGCGCCCCTATGCCCGTCTGTCAGAGCAAGACTTACAACTGGGACAACCTCGACAATTCCGTCACCCAGGACAAGTATCTCGGTAACTCCAGCGCTGCCGACTGGACCTACAGCGGAAAAGAGGTCAAGGTCGAGGATGGCAACCTGATCATGACCATGCCCGCCAAGAGTGTCGGTACTCTCTTCGCCAACAACCACTACATCTGGTACGGCAAGGTTTCCGGCAAATTCAAGAGCTCCCGCGGCAAGGGTGTCGTGACTGCTTTCATTCTTCTTTCCGATGTCAAGGATGAAATCGACTACGAGTGGGTTGGTGCTGATTTGACCGCCGTGCAAACCAACTACTACTGGCAGGGTGTCCTGGACTGTAAGTCAAGAATCAAAAGAATCCAGTCCGAATCATGAATACTGACTTGAGAAACTAGGGCACAACAGCGGCAATGTCAGTGTCAAAGGCGAGGACACCTTCAACGACTGGCACACCTACGAGATCGACTGGACTCCCGAGAAGGTTGACTGGATCGTCGACGGCACCGTGGCGCGCACCCTGAAGAAGGCCGATACCTACAACGAGACCTCCAAGCAGTACGAGTTCCCTCAGACACCCGCCCGTCTTCAGATGTCGCTCTGGCCCGCCGGCCAGCCCAGCAACGCCCAGGGTACCATCGACTGGGCTGGTGGTGTCATTGACTGGAACAGCGAGGATATCAAGAATGTCGGATACGACTACGCCACCGTTGGTGAGGTTACCGTGAAGTGCTATGATCCTCCTTCCGGTGCCTCCAAGAAGGGCTCCAAGGCCTATGTCTACACCAACTCCGCTGCCATGGAGGGCGACGTCGCCATCACCAACAACTCCACTGTTCTTGCCTCCCTTGGCGCCACTGGTCTCGACATGGATCTCGGTGCTGATAAATCAGGCTCCTCCACCTCCAAGGGCTCATCCTCCACTTCCGTGACCAACAGCATCCCCACCAGCAAGGGTGGCTCCGGTGGCATGACCAACAATGATTCTGATGAATCCAGCTCCAGCTCCGGCTCCAGCTCCGGCACTTCCACCACTAACGGCGAGGAGACTAGCACTTCATCGGGCTTCACCCAAGGAACCACCACCCAGGACAGCGGTGCGGCCGGCCAGAATGAGCGTGTCCTTCGTGGATCGCTCTTTGGAGTCCTGGTGGCTCTTGTTGTCCTCGTGACGCTATAAATATTTTGCTGATTTGACCTATATATCACTGTTGTATCATGTTTATTTTCTTCACTCTTGCCGTACTTATTGCATAACATCTAGTACTTTTTTTGGCTCACCATATACTATGCGACTTCGCTTCATGTCTGTCTTGACTGACCTTGCACAAATCACCTAATGAATACCTTTGATCCCAAGGTTCTCATATCTTTTCTCCCTTCCATTAGGTTGTGATGTTCAATGGTTGACTGCATTCGCATCTGCACCTTTCCTCCATGTTTTGTTTGGTATACCTATCCGGCGTTTTTTGGCCAATTCATGCGATGTACCGCCATTCTGATAATGATATGCGATTCCCCGCACATGACTAGAAAATAGCTGTGAGGTCTCGTAATCTTTTGTTCATATATGGGTAATCTCTTCCCAAATTTCATAGTCCCATTCCTTGAATCCGCCTACAGTACGGAGTACATGGATAACCATTTGCTGTAGATGCCTTCCATCTTTAACAAAGGTCACTTTATACAGGCAAAACAAGCAGCTTCAAACCACCCATCCTTCAACTTGACTTTCCTTAGGACGACGCCCACAAGCCACCTCCAAGCTCTCTCCATAAGTTGCATCAAAGCTTGTCTCCTCCCCAACGCAAATCAAGTAAGTCATACGAGCATATCGTTCCACCTGCATTGCCCTCTCAGGCGCAGTCTCAAGCAAAGACCTGCGAAGGATAAGTAACGCAACAACAAGCCCATCCATAAAGAGCCCCATTTCTTGACAACAAGCGGCACCTCCCCATCACCTCCAAACCCAGACCCGTCAAGCACAAATCCAACCGATGCGAGAGCCCGATTCACAGCCTTCGCGGCTTCGTCCGGCCGCTTATGTCTCTCATAAACCCCAGCGATCAAAGTAAGCGGCTCCCACAACCCAAGTTGCGGCACCTGCTCCAGCGGGTGCGCATATGTCTTGGCCAGACACTCAATGAGCGTCTCAGCCCGTGCTAGGCTAACCTTACTCAAGCTGTTTTCTAGTGCCGTGGCAATCTACGCGCGCTGTCTGGCCCACGTCCTGAGAATGTGGGACTCAGTTGCCCTGACGTCGACGCAAATGGAACAGCAGCACTCGAAGCCCCAGTGGCGGAAATCTATGGGCTGGTAATCAGGGGCGGGAAGCAGATACCAGATCTTTAGCTCGGTGTTTACGGGGATATCTGTGGCGGCGCGGATGATCATCATATCGCCGATGAAGGCGCGGTGTACGTTGCTCATACATGAGTGATTGATTGTTGAGGCATAAGGCCAGATGCCGCAGTTGTGCAGCGTTCTGGGGGTTCTGCTTGCGTCGCACGCGTCATGGATATGATCTGCTCTTGAAGAGGTTGGGCTGCCGAAACTGTTGAGGGAGATAATATGGGCGATTTGAAATCTGCAGGAGGGGGGATATGTTAGCTCTGTGTGTTTCAAGGTAGGGTGATTTGTTTATCATTTACGTGTCTACCGCTGGCTTGCCATCAACTGGGCCTGTTGAGACATGCTTGAATTTGCTGCTGTGGAGACCGGTTATCACTGGTGCTAATGATGGATTCCTGTACAGTTTTTCAGTGATTGTCGATGCGAGCGCAGCTTGGCCTCCTCTGGTGACCGTCCGAGTTTCGGTGTTGATATGGAGGGTGCTGCTCCACTTTGGCTTGCCAGGGTGCTCAGTTGCATATGTAAAGGCTTTTTCGTAGAGAATTAAGCCACCGGCCTTGACTGCCTCCGTTGTGAATAGGCCTCGTCCTTGGGACTTGGTTTACCGGACTGCCACTGGACCAATCCATGTCGCATGGTCCAAGAGTGGTGGCCAGGTCTTCGATGCTTTCTCTTGCATCTTCTCGAAGTTGTATCTGCCCTTCTTCTGCTCTGCAAGGCGTGCAATGGCTTCACAAAAATCTTCTTTGGCACTGACGTCTTCTGGGTGCTTCTTGCAGAGTTTCATGAATACATCACAGCTTTCTCAGACCATTTTCGGATTTTGGGCCTGCTGGAATGGCGTCAAGATCCCGTAGAGATGCATCCCACTCATCGACCCGGAAAAATGCCAGGCCCCGGTAGTACAGAAGGTAATGCGTCTCTTCCTCTGTTGGCGAACACTCCAATCCTTTGGAGTATCTGTCATTCTGGTCAGCATTCTTTGCTATCAAAAGATCTATTAGGACTTTACCATTCAGTGTCAGCATAGAACTTGCTCTGGTTGAGATACTCGTTACCCATGCTTGGCCAATCTCCGGCCATCCACTGGGAGGTTTCATCTTCTGGGAGCCGCTCTCGCCAAGATGACGGGATCATCTTATCAGACTTTGAGATGAACATGATATCAGAAATGTGATCAACTTTGACTCCGTACTCAGATTCGAATGTCAGAGTCAAGTAGGGCTGCTTCACAAGAAAAATCTGTCCTTTATCGACAGGGCCTCAGCAGCTTCAAGGGCCTGGCTATGCTTTTTCAAGAGCTTCTCGCCCTCTCGGTCCTGGACAAACCTGTCCATCTTTGAGTTTTTTGCTTCCTTCAAGGGAATTCAGCCTACTGATGGAGCAAACAGCTAATTGAGCTTGATGTCTATCGAGATAACGAGGATATATTCGATCAAAATGAGTGATGAAGCAAGATGGTTAGCTGAAGTGAAAATTATCTGCATGTAAATGAACAGCAAACCACTTCGACACGTGAATAAAAAATGGAGGTAGACATTAGACATTCTTACTATAGATTAGCAATTGCGACCTTGGATTTTTCCAGCCAGGATGATACAACCTAGCCCGTGCACGCGGTGTTTGAGAAATCTCAGAATTTTGCCTAGGTAAGGCTATGGGGTGGAATCAGAGCATGTCTGCCTATACCCAAGAGGCTATCTATACTAAAGAGATGCCTTTAGTGACGCAGCATATTCACAAAGTCCGTGGTTCTTCCCTGATGGAACATGTCATATAGCCATTTCAGGTATGATGAGATGGCTACGGGACTACAAGTGGTAGCAATTAGCTGAGCAAGACAGGTAGTACATCTGATCTCCATAATAGCTGCATATAGTACTTAACATATTTTGATGTTCACGGAGAAGAACATTGACATTTATCACAGCTTGTAGGATCTAGTCTTTGGCTTTATCTATCCCATCTGTTTGTTTCTCTTTATCTCACCATGCTGGCTTCCAATCCTTCCATTTACCCCCTTGACGTCTTGTATAACATGTGGTCTATATCAAGCAGTTGGCATTCGTCTTATCTTACTCTCAATAAAATGCGTTGCCTCGTAACCCAGACCTTGTACATGACCTGTGGCCAGTCTGAAGGTCCCTTTCACAGTTAGTTCTATAAACAAAAGATACAAAGAGTAAATAGGGTAACAACATCGAAATGCTTGGTCTCACCCACTTTTGCTCGTTGTCATAGCCTAGCTTTATTCACAGTGCTCTATCAATGGCATCACTTTATCACTGCACAACGCCCCATTCGTACATGGATTTCCAATCTCTCACTCAACCCTACACGTTTGCCATTTGAGAAAGGAACAGTCATCTTAACTAGTCTCACGCTACAATACTCAGCTCTGATTCTACAACACAATCAACTGATCACCCTTTCAAGCCTCACAGAGAGGCGACCCAACCAATAGTGAGCACAAACAGACATTCTACCTTGAGCGTGCCAACACTGAATACAGCTTGCTCAAGACAGACTGATACAAAAAGCAATTAGTCTCGTGCGATATCTGCCAAGCTGGTTCACCATGTGTCTGTTTGTTGAAACCCACTACTCCAATTGCAAGCATACATGCTTCGAGCTTCACCTCTTTTGCCACGAAATCCTTCGCCAACTGAACCGTATCAACGATCCGGAGCAGCGTAGAGACTTTGCTTTGCCGTTCGACCCAAATTGTCCCACCTGCCAGCCATACAGAATCACTATGAAGCCAACCACCCTTCGTCCGGATACGAATTGTCAGAGTGTGATTTTGGAGAGTAATATTGTGCACCAAATGATGGATATGGTCGAGAGCTGTCCTGGTTGTAATACCAAGGAATTGTGATTTGGATTTGTACTTTTTTGGGGGGATGTGGGTTAGAGATGAAAAATTGCTTGGTGATGAAGTGGCATGTATGTCTATTGAAGAATTATTAAGGAACACTGAAGTTTGAGAGAATAGCACCCAAAATCCTAATGCTTATTTCTAGTAAGACCAGTATCGAAATCAATGAAAGCTCTGAATTGCATGTAGGTATGTATGATGATGAACCCCCGAAATATCCACAGTGCGACCTAATACAGAAATACAATATGAAAAATGTCGAGTGACGACTATCGTTTAGTGCGCAGCACCACATCCACAATCATCGGCTGATCGCTTCCTAAAGTCTCCATGGTAAGTGTCTAATCCATCAGTATGGAAGTTCAATCCCAGGCGGTCGCCCATCCAGTCGTATGATTGCAAGGCTCCAGACTTGGTGTCTTGTAGCAACTTCGTGACATTTTCGACATTGAGATCGAGATAGTCAGCGAGGAAGTTTCCGACATCGGTGTTCTCGTTGTTTCCAACTAATGGCCAAGCATCCTTGCTAGACGACACGTAGATGTTGACGTCAACAGCTATAGAGAAGTTAGCGTACTATCACAGGTCATTGCTTGAGACTATCTTACCAGAATGTCCATGAGTACTCCAGCCGACCTGGGCGCGGCGGCTGATCATATCCGCGAACACATATGCCGGAGTGACTTGTGGATCCGGGTGGAGCAAGGCATCTACTTCTTTGTCTGTAGCATCATCGATGCCAAGCCCATCCTTGAGAAGGTGTTCCCGGACCCAGGACTGCTTAGTCGAATCCTTGGCGTCCTTGCCCGGGCCAGAATGATATTCTTTAAGTCGAGCAGCAAGGTATTCGCCAGAGTGGCTTGCCTTGTCCAGGACGTTCGGAAGCCATAAATACTCGGGATAGCTCTTGTGCAGCTGTCGTGCTGCGGCAAGACCACCGGTCTCGTGGTCGGATGTGCTCACAATTACGCCAGGGGTGGGATCATTCTCTAGGAACTCGAGTGCGGCAGCAAATGCCTTGTCGTATGCCAATACCTCATGAACTTGGGCGGCAGGATCATTGCCATGGCCGGCATGGTCGATGCGAGAGCCCTCGATCAGGACGAAGAACCCTTGTTCACTGTCCTCGGTGGCTTTGCTCAAGGCCTTCAGGGCAGTGCGAGTCATCTCCTCTAAAGAGGGATAGGTCTCATTCTGAGTACGTCGATCAATCTCATACGGGATATCTCCGTGAGCAAAAAGGCCTAGCAGCGGTAAAGTGGCGTTATCGCCGCCCTTGAGGCTATCGAAGCCTGCACGGTCATCGATATAACCGAATCCATTCTGAGAAGCAACCTTGATCAAATCGTGATCATCGCCACGACAGCTGCCAGACTTTGAGTTGGGCAAAAAATGGCATCGTCCACCGCCGAGCATAAGATCTACGACCCGGCCGAGAGGGTGTTCTCCAACTTCTTGGGCGGCAATCAGATCTTCGTAGTTCCGCAGATTAGCATGCGCGGCAAAGCATGCTGGAGTCGCATCCGTCAGGCGAGTAGTCACAACCAGTCCTGTCTTATAGCCCGCCAACGCAGCCGCCTCGAGCACGGTCCCACAGGGCGAGTGGTCGGGGAGCACTGAGATGGCAGAATTGTAACTCTTGCGACCGCATGAAAAGGCGGTTGCTCCAGCGGCAGAGTCTGTTACCAAGCTAGAGCTTGAGCGTGTTCGCGAAGTTCCAATGTAGTGCTTATCCAAGACCAGAATGTCGTCGAACGGCAGATCATGCGTGTATTGCCGGAAGCTTCGAGTCAGCGAGAGACTAGTAGGACCCATGCCGTCAGAAACCATGAAAATCATGTTCCGCTTGCCCGTCGGCTTGCCTCCAGGGCCCCAGGTCGTGTTTGACCCACGATGGGGTTGAGGCTCCGCTGACTTGTGTGGGTAGAGCACGGCCAGAACAATTACCAAAATTGTTGCAATCAGAGCCCAGGAAAACACTCCAATTTCCCGCCAGGAAGGCCAGGCTTGCCGTTTGTTTTCGGTGGCCGTTCGCTCGCCGGTCAAGAGAGCGTATTCCTCCCCGTCATTTCGGATCGACGAACCATCGTCAGAGGACACGCGAGGAGCAAGAAGGGACTCTTCCCGCGCCATAGCTGTAGCTGTAAAGACAGAATCGGTAAAAGTAATCAAATCGGGTTGGCCTCCGTATAATATACTGCGGAAAGGGTGGGGACAGATCTACAAGGTCGAGAACTTCGATTGCGACCTAACCAGGTTGTTTTGATCCTGAGTGACCCTGAGCCGTGGGGGCGGAGTTTAGGAGATAAGGATAAGATAACAGGGCTCACATGATACGTCCCGAGGTCACGTTCCTGCATCACAGCCCTAGAAGTCGGGTACTGTAACATGCAATTATGCAATGTTCAAGAACTACATGTACTCTTTTGTACAACCGGAGCCGGGAAGTTCGGGAGAAGAATTATTTCATTTTGAATCGGCCTAAGCTAAATACTCAAATTATCCATATAATATATATCATTCTCAAGACAACCTATAGCATCTAGAGAGGTCTAGCTTTCCACCCAATAGGAATCATAGCAGCGGCGATCTCAGCTACTCCGCGCTCTGTAGCAAGGAGATTGAACTGCGCGGCTGCATTTCGAGTATCGAGGATATCAACTCGAATGCCTAACGAGTTGATGTGACGCTTAGTTTCAGGTGAGAGCGGGAACATCGAGCCACCAAGACCAAGAATGAGCATATCTGTGGCAGAGCTGTTAGGACATTGAAGAGCAATGTGGTGATCAAGCTCAGATATGTTGAATCCGAAGGAAGCACATATCCGGGGTCAAAAAAGAAGAGGAAACTTACCAGGCTTTGGCCAGACAAGATTCAACAAGCCCCAAACCGACTCATCAAGCTCAAATTGGCCTTTAGAATTGAGCATAGCATCCTTAGCGACACGGTCGCTCTCTGCGCCCTCGACAGCCTTCCACGGCCGCCACGCAAATGCCTCACCGCCAACGAGCAGCAGCCCATCGCCGTTGGTAAGCTTGACACCATTGTTCAGATGAAACCCAGAATCTAGGCATGCATCAATGGCTGTCGTTGGAGCAGGGATGTTGCCCAGCACGTTCAATGCATCAAAGTTTGTCTGGGTGTCTTCTTTTGACTTTGGTCCGCGGTCGCGGCTGACGGGTTTATGCGCGTGTGAGCGAGGTATCATGCGGGCTGGTTGAATGGGTGAGCTATAGTTTCGGTGTGTTGAGGGTAGTTTGTTGCCGGGATTTGAGGCGAGGCATGGTACTGCAGTTGCTGATGTGATCTGGCAGAATCGAGTCAAGTTCGAAGTGCGACGGGTGTTGAATAGGGAGGTGCGTAGAACGCACAAGAGTTGCGGCGATGGTGAATGCATTATTGGAATGTGGTCGGCAAAGCAGCTGGTTCAGGTTGGTTCTGTGTTGTATACTGTCCTGGTGATGTAGTGGTTCGGAAGGTCAACGATGAGTGTCACGTGAAATGAAGCCCTCGGGCCTTGGCAAAGAGAGATAGCGGCCCTAGTACCTAGATATCGAGCCGCATGAGTTATAAAGATGACGCAGTTACGCGTGGCAAGAGTTTGTATGTTTAAAAAGAAAACGGTTAGATATTCTATGAAAACCCAAGAATGGGTGTATAGCATGGGCTTGAGTTGGGACCCCCGTCTATCACAAGCAAGTAGTCATGATCCGCTTGAATTGAGTTCTTCTTATATTAATATTGATCCTAGCAATTTAATCTATTTTGATTGTGCAGGAGTCCCAGCCCTGACCCTCTGCGCCTGGATTCATATAAAACAAGGACAAGGGAGATGATAACATCGTACGTCGTAGACCCAAAACGCCAACCAAAAAAAGAGAAAGAAAAAAGGACACGAACGATACCTGCAAGAACGAGCGAACCGAAAATTGAGAAATCATCAAGAAAAAAGAGAAGCTCTCATCCCTCAAGATGAGACATCAAACTTGATCTCATACTGCCCTCGTTCATTACTGCCTCTTGGAACTTTTCCTGTAAGAATATGAAAAAAAAAAACGTATGCACATGTTGAAGATTAAACAAGAGCCATTCCCTGTCCCTATTCTGGTGGTCTGGGGATTACTGATTTAGTTGCTTCGGTGACCGACAACGTTGCGATCTTCATCCGATTGACTAGAGCTGTCATCGCTTGTGGTTGCGGTGCGGATTCGCTCGGCTAGGACCTGAGCTTGTTCCATAGCCTTTTGGGCGCGGATCTGCTTACGCCACATGCTGGCATAGCGGCCCTTCATGGCCAGGAGCTCTTCGTGGGTGCCGCTTTCGGCCACTTGACCCTCTGACAAGACCAAGATGCGGTCTGCAGTAGTGATGGTACTGAGACGATGAGCGATTACCAGCATGGTGCGGCCCCGGGAAAGGGTAGAAAGCGCCCGCTGGATATGCTCCTCAGTATCAGTGTCTAGAGCTGCAGTCGCCTCATCTAATAGAATGATGCGCGGGTTTTTGATGATGGTGCGAGCGATAGCCACACGTTGCTTCTCGCCACCGCTAAGGCGTAGGCCACGCTCTCCAACCTTGGTGTTATAGCCGTCGGGGAAAGCCAGGATCTTGTCGTGAATGCTGGCAGCGCGGCAAGCCTCGAAAACTTCCTCATCAGTGGCGTCTTGCTTGGCATACTTCAAATTGTACATCAAAGTCTCGTTGAAGAGTACAGTATCCTGAGGCACCACACCAATGTTCTGGCGGAGTGAATCAATCGTGATGTCCCGTACATCATGCCCGTCGATACAGATACGCCCACTCCCGGAGTTGTAGAACCGGAACAAGAGGCGGAAGACGGTGGACTTACCTCCGCCAGACTCACCAACCAAGGCGGTAGTGGTTCCCGGCTGGCAGTGGAAGGTAAGGCCATTCAACGCAGGTTTGCGTGCATCGTAAGCAAACTCAACATCCTCAAACTTGATGTCACCATTACACGTGGCCAGCGGGGTAGCACTAGGGCTATCGACCACTGTTGGCTGCTCACGGAACAACTCTAATAGCCGTTCAGCGTTGATTAATGCGGACTGGATAGATCGATAGAAGGTTCCAAAGAAATTGAGCGGACCCTGGAGTTGGACCATATAAGCCAGTAGAGCCACGAACTTGCTAACGGGGCGCTGGCCAGTAGCAACCTGATATGAACAAATGAAGCACATGACCAATAAGCCCATCATAAACACGGTGTTTTGACAGGTATTTAGTAGTGTTAGAGAGAATAGCACGTGGTATTCGGCCTTCTGGAAGTCAGCCACAGCGCCCCGGTACCGATTAAATTCGTACTGTTCGGCATTGAAGTATTTCACTGTCTCATATGAGACCATGGAGTCATTCCTAGAAAGAGCACGAGTTAGTCCCAATTATTGTATCATGTATAGTCTCGTTTGACTTACTTGACGGCATCTTCTTGTCGCGAGGCATTGACCATCTGTCTTCTGATCTCTGCTCTCCACTGGGCCATCCGAATAGTGACATAGAGATAACCAAATGTGGAGATCCCGACAGCTAGAGCATAGTATACATCAAATGCAACCATGAAAAACACGACCGCAATCACAAGATCGACAAGCATTGGCACCACCTGAAAGGTGACCTGCTCAAGAAAAGTGTTGATCGAACTGCCCTTGCTTAGAGCAGACAGGACTTCGCCGGTCTTTTTGCCGAGATGGAAGTCTAAGCTGAGACTATGGACGTGTTCAAACGCAGCGGTGGAGAGCTCCATGTAGGAATACTGGCTCACAGGAATCCAGAGGCTAGAGCGCAGGGAGCTGAGTAACCCCTGGCTGCCCTGCAACCATCGGTACAGCACATACAGGCAAATTTGAAGCCATGGCACTTCGAAGTGCTCGCCCTCACCCCTGGTAAGAGAAGCTGTGATGACTGCGATTTGATGGGGTACCAAGACGTTAACAACTCGCTGGCATATGAGGAGCCCAAAACAAAAGGTGACAACTAGTTGCAGGCGGCGGGATTTGGACGGCCATAGGTATGGGAAAAATAGTGAATATCCGCTCAGGTACTCCCACCAGCTAGTGGAAGGAATAGTCGTCGGACGCACCCATGGATCGGTAGGTTTGGCAGTTTCGGGGTGAGGAGCTCCGTTCGTCGAGCCATATGAGTGACCATTCGCAGTTCCGTTTCCATGCCCATGCCCATTGCCATTTTCTGCGCCACCGGAATCCAGAAGTCCCGTAACTTCAGTGGCTCCGTTGGCCCGTTGGCTCGCCTTCTGGTGATTCTTCATGTTGAATGATTGACAGGCGTAGAGAAGAACCAGTGCAAACAAGATAAGGATGCGTACACTGTTCGAACCGACTTCCAGAGACTCCCAGAATGTAATGCTTCTGCGGACTCGACCCCCTTCTGGGTCTCCAACAATTGGCTCGTGGTGAACCGAGGTGTAGATCGAGAGGGACGTGCTAACAATAACCAATTCGATCGGAATTGCGATCGACCAACAGACAAATTGAGCGAGAGTGGGCGAGGGAGATGTGTCTAGCATTGCCATGAGCAGCACCGCGTAGACGAAGAACGAGCCGACGACGTAGACCTGAGATAGTGTCAACGGTTGTCGAGAAACACTCAACCCTTTGAATAGAACGTACCACAAATGACTGTCCTCGCCACCAGTTCTCTGACCTAGCCACCATCACATGTATGATATAGATAGTTGCATCTGCAAGGAAAGTCAGGAGAATGGCCACGGAGAGCAAATTGAAAACTCGTTTGACGTTCCGTGAGAACTCCTGGGGTTTGTAGGCGGGCACGGTTCGACTTCGTTGAGGGAGTGGTCGTCCTCCGGGACCAAAGTATTGACAATCATGCTTGCTCGCTTTCCTCGCAGCGACAGTAGTATTGGCCACGAAGGCTACGACAAAGAGGATAAGAAGAAAGATGGGGTAAGAGGTGCGCAAGTATTCCAGCAGCTCAATGGCTGCATGGGGATCCATTGCCCACTAAATGTCCCAGAAATGAGTGTTTCAGACAAAGTCCATGACAAGAGTGCCCCGAAAGAAATGTAGGAAAGGGAGGCCGGGTTCGGATCGGAAAGGACTGGACGGGTGTGAACGACGGGTATGGCGAAAGATCGACGGGAATGGGGAACTTCCAAGATAACCTCAACCGGTTTCCACGTGGAAGTTTATAGAAAGAAAATATTAAGAACTTGAAGCAGAAGCAAACATCAGAGAAATAAGAAAGAAAAAAAAAGAAAATATAATGTTATTTTTCCTTATTTTTCCTGATCTCTTTTTTCCCCTACAATGTTCTTTTTTTTTCTCTTTTCCAATGCTTTTAAATGTTTTTTGAAGGAAAAGGTTGAAGCATTTTAAAAGGAAAAGGGAAAAGTGAAGAGGCGAAGAATATATAAATGTACTTCGTACATAAATAATCAGATGTCTAAAATGACGGTGTGTGGATTACAGGCTTGCTGCAGCTAAAAACAAGGGGATCCACTGTTATATAACTCACCTAAAGCTTCCGAGGTATCTTTTTTTGATCTATAAATCTTCTCCGAATTCCTCTTTTGGAACTTTGTTTGTCTCCGATAGTTGAATTCTGTATATCAATCTAGAACCGTTCCTGCCCAATGGTCCAAGTTCAAATCGTTCTGAGAAAACAGGGGGGGATTCAAAGGATCGTCGATCGATAGATCGAGAACAATCCACGCAGATATGACTTCACTTCACTGCCAAGGAAAATAAAACCATGAAAGGAATTATTAACGAGATCATCTGAGCTCAGTCATGATGGCAATGAAATCTAGATGGTCTTCCTTTTCTCCGTGATGTGTGACCTTCAGCTTAGATTGGTTGTTGAGGCTTCCCGTGATATGTACGTGATTAGCTGAATGTCTCATATTCGCCTCTTCTTAGTGTCTTTTAGTCACTCTCAGTGGCACTTTTGAGGCGCAGTTCAATGGGTTGGCCACTTTAAGCTATCAAATGTGTCATAAATGCTTGAAGATCTATGGATATATATTCCCCATGTGTCTCGTGTCCCACGTCCCGAAGCCCCGGTTGAGGTAAGACAGATTAGAATCGCATGCTTGTGTTTTATAGATAGTATCTAGGTATGTTGGTCATTTGACACGTTCCCTCGGAGAAATTACTTCATAAGATCCCATTCCAATCTGAGCTCTCTCATGTGTTGTCTTCTAGACCGCTCTTAAAACATGTATTCCGGCCCGATGGCTTAGGAGGTGAAGACTTCAAGAAGTATGATATGAAATATGAGAAAGTAGTACGGAGTACAACTACCTGACTGGTGCCCTATATGTGAGGCATAATGTTGTAAGAACGTTCCAACGTCAAAAATTGTACGTTGTTCAATCTTGTCACATAACATTAAGGCATGGATCATCGGTGCCTCAGGGATCCTTCCCTCACCGCTTGCATCTTGACGATCTCCAACTCTCCGTATCTTTCTCCCACCAAGTCGGTGTGCCAGAATGGAGACCTGACTGTGAACGATGTCGGACCTCTCAGGTTCGCGATCTCCGGTCCCTCCTCCTCCTCCCCCTCCACCACAGAAGTACTCAAACCGCGCCGCCAATGCTCTTGCTAGATTTGCCCAACCCTTCTTCGCGGGCTCGAGACCACCTAGCCCCCAAAGCAGTCGTGCGGATGGTCCCCGGTCGATCAGATCCAAATCACTGTAAGTGTTGCAGCCTCTTCACACCGCTCTGATACCCCTACTTCCCTGGTGCACTCCCCATGTTTTTCCCTCTTTGTTTCCCACGAATGCAGTGGCCACCCCCGCCATTTGGTCATCGGAGCTTATATGATCGGGGAAATTACATTTGAGCCAATGGAATCTTCTTTTTCTAATTATATGCTTCTGTAAAGACCAGGTGAACCACAGACTGTGACCCATAAAACAGGTATCGCAATCACGGCTTTGGACATTTCGCCTGAGAGGACACATGCGGTTATCGCAGGCAAGGAGATTCTCAAAACCATCCAGGTCTCGCCAGACCGCTCGTCAGAGGAATTCAACATCCGCAATGCAGTTATCAGCTATGCATCTACCCACCACGATGTGGGCGTTTCGATGCCACATAAGGACCAATTGAATGTGAAGGACGTAAAATGGTCACATGGCAACTATGACCGGATAATCGCAACAGCAGTCGCAAATGGTCGGATTGTCGTCTACGACCTCCAGCGGCCCGGCCTCCAATTATGTCGTTTCCATGGTCATAACCGCCAGGTGCATAGGCTGGCCTTCAACCCTCATCTTCCTTCTTGGCTTCTGTCTGGCAGTCAAGATGGCACAATTCGGATGTGGGATCTGCGATCTGCCTCTGCAAATAGGGGAACTTCCACGTGCGGCAGCAAACATTCTTATCAGGGCAATAGCGACGCCATCCGAGACGTCCGATGGTCTCCCAACGATGGAGTCATATTTGCAACTGCCTCAGACAGCGGCGCAATCCAGATGTGGGATTACCGAAAGGTCAACGCCCCATTGATGAGAATCGCCGCTCATGATCGCCCATGCTTCGCGGTCGACTGGCACCCAGATGGAAAGCACATTGTCAGCGGTGGCACAGATCGCCAGGTAAAGGTCTGGGACTTTTCTTCATCTGCAGAGCGACGGCAGAAACCTGCATTCCAATTCCGGACGCCCCAGGCCGTCACCAATGTGCGGTGGAGGCCTCCTTCTTGGGTTGGTGAGTCTCCTTCCTCGGGAGAATGGCAGTCATCTCAAATTGTTACGTCCTACGACAAAGAAGACCCGCGCGTTCACCTTTGGGATCTCCGTCGTCCTCACGTTCCATTCCGGGAGTTCGATCGGTATGACTCGCCTGCATCAGACCTGCTTTGGCGCTCCAAGGATCTTTTGTGGACGGTCGGCGAGGCTGGGGCGTTTACTCAGACTGATGTTCGGTATGCACCAACTGTGGTCAATCGCCGCCCGATGTGCTCCGTGGCCTGGAGTCCCAATGGCGAGTTTGTTGCTTTCAGTCAACAACGCCCTAGACGACGCCCTCTAGGTGTCAATGCGGCCGAATTTCTACGACCCGAAGAAGACGAGGACAGCACTGGCGAGAGATCATTAAGTCAAAGCCCCGCTGATGACATCTTTGATGAAGCCGTTTTGGCCACTTCCCTTCGGAATCGGCATCCCAAATCGGCCGCAATTCGACCATCCAAATCCTTGGGAAGTACTCCACCCGGAGCAGTGGATTTCATACCCGTGCTCCCCCTAGAACAAGCATTAGCGAAACTCGCAACCCCAATGCCCAGTCAGGTGGGAATCATTACAAGTATTCCGGGTGCCACAAACGACTCAGCAATCTTTCGGTATTTGGCAAGCCACTATACACCGTTAATGAATGAACACAATGAACATCAAACGCAGAACGACGTCCTGAACACTTTAATTGAGTCACTGGATCATAACGCTGAATGTGCAAATGAGGTATCCCTGGTTAAATTGGCTCAGACTTGGAGAATTGTCAAATTCGCTATTCTTGAAGAGCTCCAACGCAGGGCTAGAGATCATCCAGCGAAAGGACATCTCAAAGACAGGTCATCCAAGGATGGAGGCTTGATAGAAAAACCACGACCTGATGATGGTCGACAGGACAGAGTCAAAAGTCGGTTGTTCAAAGGAGTCATGGAGGCGGTTCCCGAGGCCGAGAGCTCGTCCAATATGACCACCCCTATTGCACGACCATTGCCCGATTCTCCGAAAGACTCGTGGTCGAGCACTGATTCCCAAATACCCTCGCTGAGCGATGGAGCGATTGATCTTGACCCTCTTCCACCATCAGTCTTGAGTGATCATAATGGTTGGGGGATGTCAGACGGCATACCATTACCGCGTGGGAGACTATCATCAACCGATGATACTCATTCATCCAAGTATCTATGGGACCCTACACAAGAAGACTTGGACATAGAGCAAAGGTCTGCGCCTCGGGCAATTGCTGGCCAAGCAGATTGGCGTCGTCGTGGTCACCCAGACTTTCCTCGGGAAAATTCCGAGGATGACTATGACCAAAAACTGGAGGATAAGCGTGCAGCAATTCGTGACTACAAACAATTTCCGAAGAAACCCTTGACTCTTGAATCGCCGATGGAATCTAACCGGCCCCCTCGCACCGACCGCTATACTCGGCATGATTCTTCGGAGAGTTTTCCCATGTTTTCTACATCCACCGACAGTTCGCATCCCGCCAAGTCTATTGGCGCGTCGTACTCGTCTACTGGACAACTTGAGGCATCCAAATCCCTGGATGCTGGACAATCTACCGCGTCGCTGAGAAGTGGGTCGATATTAGCATCTACGCGTGAGGAATCCGATGATGAGATTTTTGACCAGGTTGTCTCAGAGACTAATCGACTTCATCTTGAGCGCCCATCAAGCCCTCCCCCTTTGATCACAGAATCAAGCCCCCTTGGAAGACATAAGCAACCCTTCCTACCAAACAATGCACCCGACCTTGGCAGCTTACATCATTTAGCCATGGGCGGTATCTCGCGGGTCCAGATCCCACTCACGCCAGATGGGACAAACTTGAAACCGTGGGGTATTGAAGCGATTCTGAAAGAAGCAGTCCGATATTATCACAGCAGCAGTAGCTTAGTCGATATACAGGCTGCGGCCCATCTTCTCCAAAAGCTGCACGTTCTTTTCCGGGATTGCGAACAAATTCTCCCATATGAAGAATGTGAAATGGTCTTCAAAACTTACAATGAGCACCTGATTCGGCACTCGATGGACCTCGAGGCAGCAGAGCTCCGCTTATTCTGCGTATCGACATATCCTACCGTCTACGAATATGCTCAGACAGATTCATTTATCAACGTCTACTGCTACACGTGCCAACGACCCTTTGAAAATTCTACCCAAGATAATAGCCGATGCCATCGCTGCAGCACACCTCAAGCACCATGCTCTATTTGCATGAGCCTTGATCCACCCCCAGAGTGGGTTTCAGAGCAGCAAACTTCACCAAGCATTTCATCCTTCATGAACCCCGACCCAGATTCCGAAAGCGCTTCAACCCATTCAGCACAATCCTCAGTTCCAACTGAACCCGTCCCAGCGTCGGAGATCGATATGATCGAGCCCTTCACTGTACCTCGGCCCAAAGGCTCCACCCTCTGGACCTGGTGCCAAGGCTGCGGCCACGGCGGCCATATAGCCTGTATCACAACCTGGCTCGGTGACATCTCAACCAGCGAAGGCGGCTGCGCCACAGCCGGCTGCTCGCATGACTGCGGGCCTGGTCCACGTCGCGAACTCAACCGCCAAGCCTTGCAAGCGGAATCCAAGCGTCGCGACTCTGCCAGTCGCTCCGCCGGTGTCGGACTTGTCAAGCGTGATCCCTGGACCAAGGGTGAAAGTAAAGCTGTCGAAAAAGTCCGCGGTATGCTTGGTGTTGCTGGTGTTGCCGCTGCCACCGGTGGCAGTGGTGCTGGCCCGATCACTTTGACAAACAATAATTCCTCTCCAGCGCCGGTTTCGCCCGGCGCTATGTCGCCTAAAAGGGTACGACTTGTCACCCCGAATGAGCAAGAGAAGGAAAGTGTTGCTTTGGCTCGCACGGGCCCTCCTTCGAGGGACTGAGCTTGACTCTTGGGTAACGCTCGATTTGTACTATTATTAGCGCGCGTGTTTCTACCTCTGTATCTTCTCTTCACTATCTTGTCTTCTCCTTCTATTTGATTCCCCAATCGCGATATTTTCAATGAGTCAATCCACAGATTTAAGCACATGCGTATAGTGTACAGCCCTGATGTGAACTTCTCCATAGTAAAGTACTAGATAGAGTGTGTCGTATGCACACATACAGCCATTCCCGTCGGACGAAAAAGACCTAAAAAATCTTCAAACATAAAATCGTCGCATCCATTCGACTAGAATCTCCGCTTCTTCTTTGCAGGAATTTTGCCCTTAGCCTCGAGGGACCTCTTCAGTTCCTCACGCTTCCGGTCAGCGCGCTGGTCTTCAGTCTCCGGCTCTTCAGGTGGGACTTTCACCGCTGGTGTGAGCAATGAAGATTCCTCCTTTTTAGGAGCTTGTTGATCAACCTTCGGTTTAGCAGTTGTAGCTTTCTCGGGTGACATGACCGTGTCAGATGTAGGCAGGGGAGACTTGTCTCGAGCAGACTCGGGGGCTTTGGCTTTGGCTTTGCCGCCTATCATGCCAAGTTTTCCGGGCCGTTTAGCTTTGGCTGCTGCTAGTGCCGGCGTCGACGATATGGAAAGAGGGTCTTTGTTGATCGTTTCATTCTCGTCTGGCGACTCCGGAGGTTCTTGGGATTTTGGAGACTCACGGGCTAGTGCTGGAGGGGAAGGGGCTGATGAAGGCGAGGGTTCTTTTGCTTGTTTCTTCTTGCCGCCTATCATGCCCAATACGCCCTTTGGTCTTTTTGGTGCCTCTTGAGCGTGCGCTGGAGGAGAAGGGGCTGGGGAGGGAGATGGCGAGGGCCGACGTTCTGTCTCTTTCTTATTTTTGCCGCCAATTCTACCCAATCCGCTCTTTGGTTTTTTCAGCAAGTCTTGGGCTGCTGGCGACGTGGTGGTGGGCTTTGGCGACCTTGAAACGCTGGGAATGCGTCTTTGACGCGGTGATGGTTCAGGCTCGGATTCGGAGCCTGATGCTGTGGTCTCGTCTTCCTCTGAAGCCAATACTGGCGGCGGAAGACTTTCCTTTCTAGGGTTTTGCTGGGGTGGTGATGCTTTGCCTTTGCCATGTTGGGATTTTAGTCTGGGAGGGGTTTCTTGTCGCTAGATGAATGAGTTTAAACTATACTTGTTTTAAGTAAATAGAAATAAGTCTCAGCATACCTGGAATTCATCGACATCGCTGCTTGCTGTTGAATCACCTTCTGCGTCGATATTCTTGATTCCAATCTTCTTTTCTTTATCTTCTTCGTCGGCAACTTCCTCGTCGATAGAGGCTTCTCTGGCGCTGGTTTCAGAGTGCTTCGCAACTTGACGCCACCATTCGCCTCGTGACCCGGTGAATGTATTTAAATCATAAGAATCACTGGATTGCGAGATTTCCTGGAGTAAGTTGGTGGCTAATCCCGCCCCGTCTGATACTCCTGTCTCAGCAAGCCAGATCTGTTCCTGGAACGGCTCAATACCCTTGATGAACTTAGCAGCCTCGGACCGCGTGATAGCCTTGCGAGACGTGCGCGATCCTGCAGCGCTAGGGAATACAGAACCTAGGTCGACGCCAAGTGCTTCCATTTTGTCAAACAACTTACCAAGTACGTAGTCTTTCTGTTTGATCTGGTTCAAGAGCAGACGTTGGCGGGACTCCCACTCCGCTTCCTCTCTCAGCAGCGGAAGTAATAGACTAATGGTCAAGGACGATATAGGTTCTTTTGATAACTTCAAAGACCATTTGAGAGGCTTCAACGGGGCGGGTAGCTTTGCTGTTATCATGATTTCGAGGGAGTCGGTTTGCGTTCCACTGCTTAGGATCACGCTTTCATTGCCTTTTTGTAAAGATTCCCCAATCTTCTCCAGGAGCACATTGAGCTGTTCCGGGTCCTCTCCAGGATCGATCGTTGTTGCATCATCCTCTGCTCTTTTGGCGATGGCTTTATGGGGCAGCCGCTCTGACCATATGTAGGTGAGGTCTGTTATGTGGATCTCATAGCCTTGCCGAGTCCAGGTATACTGGAAGAGCAACGGAGGTAATTGCTGTTGGGACAAATGAAGACGCTGCCATCTCGAAGGCATGACTTGAGTTTGTTGATTTACAATGCGGAGTTGTGAAATTACGAAGTTCCAAGCTTGTCTCATAGCTGCCTGGGGCCGTGAGGGAAGGTTTGCCGCCCGCTTCACTTTCCCGCTGATCTCCCGAACTTCAGACTTCGTGTTTCGACATCCAAACTACATACGTTAAGGTCTAGCGTTCGCTCTGATCCTTATTTTTCGCTATAATCTTACTATTCTCACGATGTCTGCGCGATTTCCAGACCGATCGGACCAAAAGCGCAGCAGGTCGCGATCACCATCCTCGTGGCGTCAGGCTCAGAAACATCCTCGTCGGGACGATGGAGAATGGCGCGATCGACAAGACTCAGATCGCAGATGGAACAATGATAGATCGGGACCTTCACAACAACATCGTAACATGCGCGATCAAGTTCGCCTCAACTTGATCCAGGAAGACCAGCAAGAGCGCGAGTGGGTCGCGCAGGAGGACCTGTTCGTGTTGAAGCAGGCTAAAAAGAAGGCAGAGATTCGAGTCAAGGAAGGGCGCGCAAAGCCTATCGACTGGCTGACGGTTACTCTCCGTATCATCGATCCTACGCGCGATCCCTTGGATGACGAGATAGCAGACTCCGATCTGGATGTCGTGGACCCGGATGGTGTGTTTGAAGGACTATCGCAGACTCAGCTGCGAGAATTGGAGAAGGACATCGATACATTTTTGAACCTTGAGACAAATGCCAAAAACCGTGAATTTTGGCAGGTAATGCTCTCTCCCTCTGTGCTATCCATTGGACACCCCTGTTGACCACCGTTCACCCTACAGACTATGAAAGTGATTTGTCGAGATCGTCAAAAGACCATTACACCCGAGGGCCGCGCACTGAATTCTGTGGCTGCCGATATCAATAAACTACTAAGTCCGAAGTCCTACGAGCAGCTCCAAAACCTCGAAGTACAAGTCAAACGAAAGTTAAACTCGAACGAGCCGATCGATACAGATTACTGGGAAGAATTGCTGCGCAGTCTAACTGTATGGAAGGCTAGGGCGAGTCTGAAAAATGTTTATCGAGCCATTATTGATGAGCGTGTTCGCGATTTGAGGAGACAACAAACACAGGAAGCCGAATCAATTCGGGAAAAACTTGCGCCTCTCGCACCCCTTGTCACTGCCGGTGATACAACTAATCATGCCGAGTTTGAAGGCCTGGATCCAGATCCAATGCTTCAGGTTCGCCCAGAGGACAAAGGCTTGGAAATCATGGACGAGTCTGCATTCCTTGACCAAGTGGTAGGTTTTACGCTTCCCCTCCATTACCCCAATCCACATGCTCATCAACTGCACAGGCCCGCGAACGCCAGAAAATTATCCGTATGGGCTTTGTCCCACTACGGCACCGAGCAGCAGAGAAGTCCTCTGCGATAGTGTTGAATCCGACATCTACCAACGCTCCCGTGGCCTCTGTATCCACGCGGTTCTCCTCCATCCCGAACGAGGACTTCTCCCAAGCAACCAAAGCACTATACGAAAGGGAGCTCGCCAAAGGTGTCAGCGAGAATGAGGAAATATTTACCGGCGAAGAGGCTGTCAGCACGAGCTCGCAGCCTCAATGGGCCGGTAAGCATCGACCTCGAAAGCCGCGGTACTTCAACCGAGTTCAAATGGGTTACGAGTGGAACAAATACAACCAGACCCATTACGACCATGACAACCCACCACCCAAGGTTGTACAAGGTTACAAATTCAACATCTTCTACCCCGACTTGATCGACAAGACCAGAGCCCCGACTTACCGGATTGAGCGTGAGAACGGTCGCAAGCGTGGTGAGTCGTCGGCCGAAGCGGGTGAGGAGGACACCTGCCTCATTCGGTTCATGGCTGGACCTCCATACGAAGACCTTGCTTTTCGAATTGTCGACAAAGAATGGGATTATAGTGCCAAACGAGAGAGGGGATTCAAGAGTACATTTGACAAGGTATGCTGTGCTACTCAATGATCTCTCTGTTTCTCAACTGACGTAATTTTTACCTTTCAGGGAATCCTTCAACTTCATTTCCAATTCAAAAGGGTAAGGTGCTTTTCCTTTTTTTTTTTTTTCCGATAATACTAACAAGTTGTCTTAGATCTATTACCGGAAGTAACACATGCGCAACCAATCCACATGGGCGTCATATCGGGTTGGAGATAGAGTGTGTTATAGTGTATGCAGGGAGATGATCGGGGGTGTATTTTCCAGTGACTCGATATCCAGTGAATCAGACCACCCATGGCTTGATTGGACTGGAAATATTTCCCCCAATGGTTTTCGCAGAATAAGCCGGAATTGATATCTGGAGATATCAGATGCTTGATCCAACCACTTCTTAAAATTGACGACCCTGTCACCTTTTGTTTTTGCCCATCCCTATGTTGCATGTTGGTCTTTTAGGGGGAAGCCAAACCTCGGCTTGGCCATGACTAGCGTATCACCACCATTTCTCTCTTTTTTTTTTTTTTTTTTTTCTATTACCGGGGTCACTCGCAACACGGTAGACGTTTGGTGTCCTTTTGGGTGACACTATCCCGGTCTGCAGGAGCAGGATGTATTCCTGACTTCCGGCTGGCTAGATGCAGGCGATGAGAAAAAGAAACAATTGGATGGCAAAAACCAGACAGCCGTTTATAGTTGACTTCCAGAAGGCCCGGAATGAAGCCGGTGTAGAGATGGCGACTTCCTGCAGGTTCCCATTTGACCAATTTGACCATTTGACCACCACCCCTTCTGACTAGGAGACGGGTCCTATTCGTTCTAGTGGGATGTAGGTATGTAGCATGTAGCACCAGATCCAGCCACTTTGACTTCCCGGCCATTGTATGCTCCGTTGCACGACTTGGGCATCTAAGGGCGTTTTTTTAAAAAATACGAAGACCTTTAATACAAATGCTCGTAGGTCCAGACCGTCTTTTGCCTAGAAAATCCACGATATTTGGAGAAAGATTATATGTGTTGGTGGATCTTGGAATGATACAGCTCCAAATCTTCCATGAACATCCTTTGAGAACTCTTGTCTCTTCTTTTCCTTATTTCTTCCTCGTACATTTACCTTCTCATATCCTTTCCCCGCACTTTCATGCTTCTCTTTCTCTTCACTTTCTCTACTCTATCATCCCCATCAAGTCACTCTCACATTTGAACGCGGACTTGCTCAAACATGGATTTCTCATTCCACTCTCACCATTTCGACAGGGTTCAAATTTCAGACCAAGAGTCTAATGATATCCCATCACTAGAAGCGCCATCTCAGGGCAATGGTGATTTCACCATGAATGCCCCAACGTTCAACCACTTCAGTCTACCTGACTGGGCGAGATGGAGATCCCAGCCAGCTCACATGCCTCCTCGCCAGTTTGAAGATTGCAATTTTCCTCGTGTGGCTGATGCTGAGACGCCCGACTTGGGTTCGTTCTCTCAGGAACCCATTGGGGATCCAAATGGGTATCTCAATTCGTACCGCACGCATGTCACCCCCGCTATAGCTGGCACAACCTTGGAGACATTAGCCCCTCAGACTGGAGATGGCCACGCAAATTGGTCACTTTTGCAACCCTCCCATGCCTTCAAAGGCCAGCCATACAGCTATCCTCAGTTGGAACCTTATCAGCCATCTCCAGACTCCCCACCGTCGCCACTTTCTGAAGTCTCTTCCTATCACTCTCCGCAGTCCCTCGCTGCTTCGAGCCCAGCCATGATGAACCAATCTACCGACCGTCTTTCACCACGTTCCAGCACTGGTGATCACAGAGAGGAGCGTCCCGGACACCCTCCCTATTCAGTTCTCATCTATCAAGCTTTGAAGGATGCACCGGGACACAAGCTTCAACTCCAAAGCATTTACTCCTGGTTTGAAGCAAATACGGACAAGGGAGCGGACCCAAACGCGAAGGGATGGCAGAACAGTATTCGCCATAATCTCTCTATGAATGCGGTAAGCCTCACTTCTCATAGCTCTCATTTCTCATAACTCTCACTTTTCATACTTCGTCCCCTTGGTTCTTTGCTACAATGCATTCAATATCTACTACATTTGGTATCAATACTAATCTCAAGTCTAGGGATTCGAGGCAGTGAAAGAAGAAGTTGGCCCAGGAAAAAAAGCAGTCAACTTCTGGAGGCTCACGCCGGAAGCCATCCACAGCGGTGGCATCCAATCAACTACCCGTTACCGCAAGCTTCAACACCAAAAGAAAGGAATGGGCTCAGGCCACCGAGGGCCCACACATCAGCCCTCGCAGTACAAGGGGGTTCACGCCACGAAAGTTGTCAAATCACGCAGCACGAATAGTCCCCGCAGCGAGCGCGCCGAAGCATATCATCAGCAAATTCCTGACACCAATCCTAGTCTAGGACATGAATACGGTCCTGCCAGTCTCCCAGTCATGCAAAGATACATGCAACACCCCATGGGCCCTGTTGTCGGATGCACCCCCATGATACCAGGAAACAATACGGTCTTCATCGATACCACGGAACCAGTGTCAGCATTTGACGTGGGCCATAGCCATGATTGGTATGCTCCAGAGTAGGGCCCCAACAGGTCTCAGGACCCACTCGAAGGTCCCGGTCGATCTTCATGGGATTTGGAAAAAGAAATTTGAGCAAAACAAAAAATGGAGGGGGAGGTGTGGTGGAGGGGATAGGACAAGATTAGCGAGGAAAAAGCGCTGAGCAGTGTATGCAAATTCTTTTTTTTTTTATTATTCTCAAGATTCTTCATTTTTATGCCTTTTTTTCTTGCTAATTTTCAAGCCATTGGTCAAGACCATGTTGGCCATTGAGCACACTAGAGGTATGGCGTTATTTAAGTGCCCATTTATTTGCTGTTTGTACTCAGAATGTATTTGGCGGGCGTTCCACAGAGCAAGCCTCATGGCGAAGGAGATCTATCTGCTTTTTTTTTCCCTTCTCAGTATCTACTTTGCTTTTTGCGCTAAGTCTTCTCTTTTTTTCAGACATTCTGGCATGAGCAACGTATATTTTCTTTTCGAGTGTACCATAAGTTAGTAGTGAGTTTTGAATCTATGGAATACTAATCAAGATCTATCACAAAAGCAAAGATAGTGTCAATGAGTATTCAATGACACGCTTGATGTTAAGCTTGTATCTTGTGCGATCTCGCTTCTCTCGAGTCCCAACATGTATCTAGTTCCAATTGCACATCGTTTGTCATGTTGGGCATGAACAACGCCAAGGAATGAAAAAAATATTCAAGTCTCTACTTAGCCCCCAGATCTCTGTGTCGGATCAATCGGGATTTCTTCGTGTTAATGCACCGGCCTATTCTTAACCGCAGCATAGACCACATGTTGTGCCGCTGACAATGCTTCATATGCTTGCACAACGGTGTCTCAAGTGACAGGAATAGCCTCCAACCATAGTAACAGGATATATTCATAAGTGACCACCTGCATGTCTCCATCGAACCTGGGTGCATTACAGGGCAGGTTGCTTCTCACATAGTATAACAGAGCGAATTTCGAGCTTTTTTGCTAGTCTTTTCGTTATCTCTTGACATCCCAGTTCTGTCCTTAGCCACACTGAGAACCCCACTAACACCCCGCTATACCAGGCTACCCACTGATACGGTAGTCTAGGGTCCTAAGGTGATGCGGGAACCCTAGGCTGCGTCGGCTACATCGGCGGCTGCGTGTTGCCTTTTTTATGACCATGTTTCCTCTGTATCATTGCCCACTTCATCTTTTGTCAGTGTCCCGGGAAAAAGGGAATCTGATACCCTCGTTTTTGAGATAGCAGATCATGAGGATCACGCAGATCTCGCTTTCTTTTTACTATGGTTTATCCACAAGTGAATCACCTGTCAAGGCTACAGGCAAGAAAGAGGAGCTCAATTATAGGTATATTGCAATTGGAGCATAATGAAAAATCCTATGCTCTACATTATCAACTTCGTTCCCCAACTTACGATGTCCCCTATGGTGACACTTATCCACATACTAACTGAAAGATTTATATTGCAGTGTTGTTCCTACGATAGACTCGCGTAATAGGGAGATCGGCAATGACGCCAGCGGAAGGAGTGAGGCGAACAACGCCACCTAATATGCTTCATGTGTCAAAGCACGAGACTGAGAGAAATCAAATGAGAGAATGGTGGTCTTACTATCCCCAGTGATTTTTATGGACTATCATACTTTGCTCCGATATGCGGTTTTATATAATCCCCGGCTACGAGATACATAGATACATAGATACTTTTATTAAATACCACTAGGGTATGGGTAACTTGCATGCGCGAAGTGTGCGGTGCAGCAGATTTTGTGCTGTAAGTAAGGAGCCACTCACCGTGGACAGTATGTACCTGTGCACGGTCCTACAGATGGCAGCTGCAATGCTGTTGACAATGCGGCTGAATATTCTAGTATCTGAAGTTGAATTTCGAAGTCCCCCTACGGGCCGTGCCGATAGTGATTTATTTATTTCAATGTTGGGTAGGATGTTCGTGTTGTTCTCAGATGAGGAAGGAGGTTCGATCTTATTAATCTAACCCTAAAGGGCTCCCTATCTAGGGCTATTGTACAAAGCACGTTACAAGCTGCCTCCATGTCCTTAGTGTGTATATTGTACACCAATGTCCTCAATACCAATTTTTAGCACCCGCTTGGACCATCTCCTAAGCCAAATATGGTAGGGGATCCTCTTGTGACAGTCTGCAGCTTAAGTAGTGATTTAGTGTTGAGTGGGTGTTCGCTATTAGGTATGTATGTTGAGGGTGAATGGAGTAGGCCGTCCAACCGAAGGATACGCGTCCCGCACTGTTGCCAATCGTATAGTGGTATCGCTAGCTTCCTTTGTTGAAAGGGAGCTGGCTTCTTACGGTAAACTTACTAGGCTATTGATGAATGCAATCAACCAGCGAGAGGCGCCGCTCCCACTGTGATGGTACCAATGTCCTCTAGAATCTGTATCCTCCTACTGTACGGAGTATTCCGTACAATCTACTTCGTTACTTGGTCTTGTTTCTCTTCCTTTGCTTTGCTTTGTTTTTCGTTTTGACGTATATACCCATATGTCACGTGTATGACCATAATGCACGTCGTCCGAAAAGATCTTCGTACTAATCATTGTGGAGAGGTTGAGGGTCTTCTATGCAGGGTGAAGGCAGGCAGTATCAATAGTCCCGATTGCAAGTGCAAGTACTGTCAGGCACAGCCCCACTGTTCCACCCGAAAATTTCATATCATAGGTATCAATTCAAGCCCAACTCGGGGTCATCCTAGATCACTTTCGATCTATCGATTATCTCGGGAAGGGGAAGTCACGAATGAGAGAAAGGGGTACCCTTGACCTTTTGAAGCTGCATGACATCAATCGACCCGGGCACGGAAGTGTCACTTGATATGTACTCAGTAGCCGATAGGTTGCCCAGCCTGCTGGAATCCGGGATTTGCAGACGTATTCCGGTAAGCCCCCGGGATGTTCTCTTTGCCATTCAGGTCATCTTGAAAGCCTTCGAGGGAGATGTGGCATTTTATTTACAGTATACTGTCAGTGGCTCTTTGTCTTTGTATTCTGGCTTTCTGTTGCTCTCGTAGAAACCGCACGAACCTCCTCCCGTTAGGCGTTTGTGGGATGGAACGGCCCGGTTCGACAGCTGTCAACTATGCATACGCTCGTGCTTCCTTTGACAAGCGCCCTCGGAATGGGTAGCTCTAGGGAGCAATGCGACACAGAACAATCGCCTGACCGCTTCTTGATCCCCCGGTGCCGATCCCATTGTCTGTTGTCATCCATATTCCCGGGTCCTATCATGGAGGCGGCAAAAACTCTTCGCTTCGTTGCTTTTTAACAGTAAAAGAGAAAAAAAGGATCGTTCGGAACGGGGCCGACAACGTATTCTATTGGCTGCTTCAAGGTACCTGGGATTGAACGAATGTTGGCAGTCACGTACTTTACATATACGTTACGTACTTAGTAAAACAATGCATGGAAGTGGAGGGATCAATCTTCATTGGTACACTTTCAGCTACACTTTGACCCTTTTTTTACTAGAAATTGAGCTAGTGTAGACTGGGTGGTACAGAGATGCTAGATCTTATTCTGGGGGAAATCCATTGTTTTATCACACAGTACCTCACCTTGGATCTTGACTGGTAGCAATTACAAGAACGTTGGAGCATAGTGCTATTATTTTGCTCCTAGCTGAATCTTAGAAGTTGACTGAAAATCCATATAATACAATTCATGTATTTGAAATGATAGGCATGGCTGTAGGTTCATAAATTCAGTGTATCTTCAACCAATCTCATCTGCAGCATCGAGCAGGTTGTGCAGGATGGAGCTCCTGCCTGAAAGAGAAGTTCAAGATATCGAAGATCAAAAATATTCATGTCACTATATTATACTTTTTTTTCCTGTAATATATTTCTCATACAGCGCAGCGAGAGTCATTCTCATCGAATGCGATGCCAGCGCCCCATGAATATACCCAGACCCAGCTAACATATTACTTGTGTATTGATGTAATTTTATCACCGACAACAAGTTTGGGAATTAGATCCTCAAACTAAGTGAGGTATTCTACAGTAAAAACCCTAGGGGCCTTGCCGACAAGCGGTGTCGTTTTACCCTAAACATGATGCATGTCTGGTCAGGGTCTCAATCGGCTGAGGGGTCAAACTCCGCGGACAAACAGACCCCTCACAATGACATTAATAGACCTTTATCTACAGTAGTAGTCAATAGTCCTTATTAAGGTGACATATATTCCCCTTTCGGTTATGCTACCGAGATTACTAAGTGCAGCTATTTAGCCACACCATCGCTTTACTGATTAATTCTCAGCCAAGTTTAACCTGGAAAAAACGTTGTAATTATAGCCTGTGCTACAGAGTTACTTATGGTATGGACAGTGTCCTCTACCTACGTATTTATGCTAACATTGGAAGATTAGTATGTCAAGTGACGTGCATGTTTATGTACGTATGTACAGTATTCAATTTTTATCCCCCCCCAAAAGCCTGTTTATCTAAGTCCTTAGCTTTTCTATAGTACTTAATGATTGTGAAGAAAAGACAGTTGGACTTCTGTGGAACGGGAAGCCATACTATATAATCACAATACATAGGTCACCAACTAGTTAGTTACATTGATGCACCGTGGGCTAGAAGCCTGAGTTATGAGGCACCACACAGAGTCTGCAACGTTGAGTGATGCAAAAGAAAAGGACGAACCCGCAGCTATGCAGTGTCACGTTCTTGCGGGAAAATGTCCACTTTGGAGGGTTATACACATAGAGGTGAGTTGACACGACTCCGCCACATATTATTCACACCCGCAAAATATAAGGCCTAGATCAATTGACTGGACCAAGTGGGGTCCTGATCAGATGTGTACATGCAATAAAGCGTGTGTACTAGCGCAGTTATATATGAGGTCGAGACCGACAGATCGAGAAACTAACCAGATAGTCTTCAGCCCTGGATACTAGGCGCCTTACACTCGGCTACGGTGGCTAACCTAGAAAAGGCCGTTATACTACCCAGCGATGACTACGTTTTGTCCGAGCTAGAGGACATGGGAGTCTATACATAGTGCAGATCAACTAAAGTTGTTGGCCTCAAAACATATTGCCCAGCCT